GATGTTTCATGAAATAAAACATGGACTTCTCCTGCCCCGAGTTGCCGCCCCGGGGTAGAGACTGCTCAGTGACTTGGTCGGCCTCCGTGTTCGACCTTCGCAAGTCTATTCCACAATGCATGAAAGAACAGGATTCCACCTAGGACGTATCTAGGTCGTATCTAGTCAGCTCCACCTCACTTCAGAGTCCGTTTGAATCATTGCACCAATGTTGTAGTCGGATAGTCGGCCGGCCAGATTGCAAGAAGTTAAAACATCAGGGAACGACGTTGAGAGGTTCAGCGGCTCCCGTCATGCAAGCCTGCCTTCCCGTTCGGCAGGCCATATATTAGTATGTACGAATACTTAGCAATTTTTTCCAGAAAGGTCAACATGCATCCGGTCATTAGTAAACTTTTGCAGAATCACGCCAATGCAGGTTCATGAGTCATGACCTGAGCAAGCCAAATTTTGCGGGGACGCGCGGCTAGCGCAGTGATTGACCCTTAGTTTGATATCGACCTTGAATGTAATCTAGCTCGTCAAAAGTAGGCGTAACTTGAGGAACATTGCGCCGCGCATGCACGCAGAAGGTTAAGGGACCACATGAGCAATTTTAACAGGATCGGAGCACTAGAAACCTCACTGATGTCTGTCGCAATGCATGATGAAGAACATTCTTGTACTAGTGAGTCCTAGTTTTAGTTTTATGATTGAGCACAGCGGTGCGCACTATACACACACGTATACCTGAGACAGGTACATCACGCTTAACTCAACTTAGTCGAGTGTACCGTCACACTAAATAAGCCAATCAAACTACTGTGCCTGCATCATGCACACCCGGCTCAGATCATTCGAGTTGTCACATTCAAAACCTTCTGGGACAGATACAAAATTTGTTGCGCATGAGTTAGGTGGTGCCAGGCCATCGTTGCACAGACAGCACATAACCGGGACGTCACGTGCGCGATAACTGTCAGACCGCAGCGGTCACGTTGTCGCTTTTCGAACCACCTGCATGTGGTTCGAAAAGCGACAACCATGGTCAAATCCTAGCTGCACCGTCGGAAGCACATGCTTCTATGTTGCGTCCATATGGGCGTTCTATGTACTGCGCATCGACCGGATGCTTGAGTTGCTAGAAACAGTGCATGGGTTGCGTATGCCTCTAATATGCATAATTCCCTTTTCTGCCAGCAAGTGGCAACTATCAGGCACTGTGGTTGCTACAAGTGTAGCCGTGGAGCTCATATGTGGATGCTCGAATCTTCACACCCTCGGATTAGGTGGTTGTCCATTGGCTGCAGACACAGTCGAGCCCCTTCCCCTTCCAGAAGGCCTGCCTTGGTTTCTTTGTCGCTGCTGCGTAGTCCGGTCTACCTTCCCCCTATCGCTCTGTCTCGTCTCTGCATTCCGAAGGCCTGCACCTTGCGCGTCTACATTTCCGCGGCTGGCTTGCGGCGTGGGCGCTGCGCCCAACAAGCCGTTTACTGCCGCTTCCGATCTCTCATTGCTGCGCCTGTCTTCTAATCTATGGTTCAAGTCCTGGCCTTTTCTGTCGCCTCTCAAAACCGGGGGGCTGCCCAAGATAGACGCCCCACTGCTTCCTACATCTCTCAACCGGTCCGAAAGCTCACTAACCCCCTCGTTCAGAGCTCCCCCTTCCCCGCTCATCCGCCTATCCCTGGTGAAGCCCCTTCCTCTTCCTCGCGACCCCGGTTGACCTCCCCGACCATTGATCCCATTACCGGATTGCCTCCCCGCCCCTCGGTTCGACCTTGCTGCCCCGCCTCGACTGCTGCCAGCGTCCCACCCCTCTCCTCGCTCGTCTCTTCCTGGCTGGCTTCCTCGTCCACATGGACTCCTCCGCCCCTGACCCCTCCCCGGTTCATTCCCCCGACCACCTCGACCCGAACTGGTCGGCCTTTCCTCCTCCCCCCGGAACCCCTCTCCCGCTCCCAGAGCACCCCTCCGGCTACTCGGACCCCGGCCATCGTCTTGTGTAGAAGCGCCCCCAACTTCTGACGCTGTATTTGAACCACTGTCCCGTCTTGCCCCAGAGTTCGGCCGCTCACTGAGCTCTTCGTCTCGGCCCGATGTGACCGGGGCTTCGTCCTCCGCCTTCCAAAGCGCCGACGAATGGACGAGCGCCACGCCGCCCGACGTTCCGGGGGTGGCCGCCCTCTCTTCGATCAGTCCCCCCCGCCCGCGCTGCGTCTCTAGGAGCTTTGCGAAAGCGCCCTGACGTGCCTGGTCTTCCGGCGTCGGAACGAAGGCTGTCTCCACAGGCTCAGCTTCGCGGGTTTCCTGACGTCGAGGAACGGAGCAACATTGGATGAATGTACAAATGAGGATGGTTCCGAGCCTTTCCTGTTTTGAGATTCTGGATGTGAGCACTGTTTGAAATGGGGCGGAAATGCACCCCAGACTCGGCTCGTCGGTGAGTATAAGGTATGAAAGTACGGTATACCCTCAAAGCACGGGAAACACTTATCAGAATCTCCACGTGCAAAACAGGGTATCGAGAATTTGTTAGAATCGCCGCAGAGAACGCGAGTACAAACATCAATTCACAAGCGGCTGAAGACACTTGGCAGGTTATATTTCTTCCTGCATGTTCGAGGCCTCGAACTAGCATCGCTGCGAGCATCTTCACGTTTCTCAATCTCTCCGCAATTGCCCCTCACCTGCTCTTCTGCATCTGAGGCCAGCGTCCGCAGCCGTCCAATGTCTTCGGCGTTGACGGACGCACGGCACACCGGACAGTGGAGGGCGAACTCGTCGGAAGCGGAAGAGGGATCCCCCTCCACGGGCTTCGGACGTCGGACGTCCGACAGGAACGCCTCGTGCTGGCGGAGCTGCCAGCGGAACCAGTCTAGACAGCAGTGCCTGCAAGAGGCACAGAGCGTATTGTGCTTCTAATTTTATTAAGGCTGTAAAGGTTTTTGTTGTGAAACATATCGCGATGCCCGCGGTTCACTCGGAGGCGGCTCGTCAAACAACAATACTGACTCTAAGGTTCCAAACAGCTCGCTGTTGGCGGCGTACATTTCCGCGTGCTGGGCCTCGGCAATGAGAGGGACGTCAATGCGGTTCACCCCCTGTAAAGGCCGTGCAGCTCGTTTGCGGAAAACTGGAGCGAAGGTGAAGAGAGGGGTAATTGCGACGACAGGAAGGGCGGCAATCATGCTGCCCTGTGCGTGACCATTATTTAGTCAAGGCAGACAATGGTTGGTTGGGGAGAAAGCAAACAAGCTCAGTGAACAAGAGCAATGCAAATCCACAATAAAAGCTATACTTGCAAGATAGCCTCTTCTACGTTTGGCTCAGAGACGGAGTTTTCGAACCTGTGGAAGCAGTGGAAGCAATTGGTGAATTTGATGAGCTGTCGGACGTCTTCTTGCCGGTCCGCACCACTGTCCGCAAACGGGGTCATGCAGAAGCAACAGTCGCCCTCGGGGAGGTTCATGCTCGTCAGCAGGTCGAACGCCGCCTGGACAGCAGAACGAGAAAGCTTCAGAAATGAACATTCAATATTTGAGGCTGAAGGATCCGTTCCTGAAAAAAGTATGGTTGTGCTCTTGCGTGGAAGCCCAAGGCTCTTCTGGGGGTGGAACAGAGATTTTGGGAGCTTCTGGAGTAGATGCCTCAGAACGCGACACAAGATGGCTTCATGTCAGTATCTAAAGCTAATGAGAAGAGGTGCTGCGACAGACGTCAGGCAGAGGCTGCACCAGGTGGCACCTTTGCACCTCCCTTTTTCTCGACAACAAGTTTGATAGAGGAGATGCGGAACAAACTCCGGGACTCCTTGCTGCCAGAGTCCAGGTTCAGCTGGCCGCGCAAGATGTCAGCTAATCAAATAGGGCTCGCCGTTTGAGCGAAGTGCGCGTCTATTTCTGCCTTTTTGGAAATCGAGCAGCGCGACGCTCCAGTGTCCGAGTTCAAAGAACATGCACGAAAATTGACCTTGCCATTCCTGCGCCGCAGTCGTCAGGCCACCTACAAGACCCTTAAGCTAGCAAAGTGCGCCAATTTCAGGGTCCATTCACATCTTTCTCCAGCTGCTCGATTTCTCCAGCTGCTCGATTTGAACACTTCGAAAGCCCTACTCTGGATCAGCTCTTTGCAGCTGGCCACTGGAAGCACGTCAAACGCGGGCGTCGTAGAGCGTCCCATGGAAAAACTCCAAATGCATTCCCTCCTTTCAAGAAGCGGAGGCTAGCCAACACACAAGCAAAAGGTCACTAGCAACCACCAGAATTCTCACCTCGGCAGTTGCCACGAGAAGGCCGCCCTGGGGCGTCTCTTCCATTAGTTTCTGCAGCTCCTGCAGCAAGTGCGCCTGCCGGAAGTCACCCAGCCCCTTGCTGTTCTCCAGTGTCAGTTCCGGCAGCTGCTCAGGATACTGCCACAGAAAAGATTGTCTCTCGGCCTCATTTGCAACGTAAACTAGCGTCCGATGCTACCGATGCTACTTGAAGAACGCTTTGGCGTTTGCAGTTTGGACAATGTGCGCTCCTTCCTACAATTCTGCTAGTGAATGGCATGTCGCATGGGCGCCTTCAAGTGCTTTCCAAAGTAAGACCATGGTTACATTCTCAGTCTGAGATTGAAGACTCAGCAGTTCTGCTACGTCCACTTATAAGCTGATCCCACTGCTTCTTTGTCCAACATAGCGGGAGGTCTGGCAATCACTCGAGGGACAACAGCTTTGAGCATTAAACGATTGCAGAAAGATCAATGATGATTGGCTGAATCCATGCATTCACAATCTAAACAGTCGTGCACACGCTATCACAGGCACAAGAGAAAGTCACTCACATTTGTACTGGCCTTGAAAGCAAGGGTTGTCTGGACGAACTGCACAATACGGCGAGGAACATTGTTGTTCTGCAAACCTCCACATGTTACCATCATACCACCACTTAAATCAAATTCCCAACGGAGCTGGTGGTAGGTGTGTTTGCACCAAGTAAGCAAGAGAGCCGTCCTCACCAGCCTGCATGTGAATTTGACTGCTCAAAGGCGCACAGTATGTTCAACATGTCCTCAGCTGGTTCTTTGTTGATATGAACACAACAGCTGAAAAAGATCATATACGAAAAGAAGCGGAGACACAAAAAATCATCAGCTCTAAGACTTTCCTTCGTCAAATGCCTCACCTGCAAGCTTTGGTCCTCCGCCGTCCGAGGCTTCATTGCGATCTCAAGGTGGAGCGGAGCCCACGTTTTTACGACCCGACACTCGTCGAAATAGATGGCTTCCAAAGCCTCGATCTCTTCGCACACATCGTCAGGCGCCAATGCTGCCATCTGAAAAGTTTCTGCATAACTTATTAACGCCACTCTTCAGAACTTTGAAAGCGGCTTGCCTGGGGAATGGGAATTCATCAAATGCAGGGCGCTGGCTGGCGAAACTGTGTTGTCTTTGATTCTTGACCCGGGGCCGCACGGCAGTGAAGGTTGAGTTAAAATTTGCGGGTCAGGAGTCAGGACGATCAGCTTACATCAGTCACACATGGTTAGGGGTTTAACCTGGGTTTTGGCTGACCGTCGATTGGTGTAAGAATTCCAGATAATCCGACGGCCTTTCTTCACATCGACCCTGTCATCTCAACGGCTGTAAAGAATTGTTCGACAATGGACGGTCACTTTCTCATTTGAGATTTGCAAATTGCCGGTAAGTCCCATCGCTTATCCAATTCCAACTCCAAGAATTCCCCGCGGCGTCCAATTGCCCTTCTCGTGTGGGGTGCTCAGTCGCCGCAAATTGCCCACGCGAATTCCCGGCAGCCTGCATTTACTTCAGCCTTCATTGGGATTTGAGCGCCCGGTAGAAGCCATGCTCTTATTTCTGCCATATGCATCAGATGATCAGGTGCAGCAGAACCTCCGGGCACACTTCTCGATTTCATGTTGACTAAGGCCTAAGCGCATGTTGACTAAAGGATAGTGCTCGGGGGCACGAACAAACCCAAACCGATAAATGACACCCGCTCCGCACCCATACCCACCCTTAATTCCCTACTAACCCTACCCGTCCCCCGGGTGCTTTACCTTAGTCAACATGCCCTTAGTCAGCATGAAATCGAGACCTAGCCTCCGGGCGGCGGGCCGCTCGCCGCTCGGTTGGAATCTGGAAGTTGCAGTGTGCACCAAAGTGCCGTAAATGCTATCCTCGTATGTAATTTATCCACCACTGGCACCAGAATTGTACAGGTCTAGCTGTAGGTACTAGGTACTACCAGACCTGCCTACCTAGACCGGAAGTGGGCCACACTGGTGCCGGCCAGCACTGCAGCAGTCTTCAGCAGGGAGCCCATGGATGCCACAAGTCTTGCAGGCAAAAGAAGCCATTCTAGGCTGTGTTCTGCACCCAGGTCACATCTTCTGCCTTGCTGAGCACAACTTGGTACAGGTCTGTGGTGATGAGAGCGACAGAAATTGCCAGAAACCAAGAGGACAAGAGATTCGAGTGGGGCGGAGTACTGCTGGAACTCAAATGAAGAACAAGTAGAAGAAGAGTAAGCAGCGGGGTCTAATTTCAGCGGGGACGCGGACTGGCATTGTTGTGTCAGCTGCCATGGCAAACAGCGCGTCAACTCCTCTACTGCCTGACAAAGATTCTCACATTGTGGAAGCAGACGGGTTGCACCACAACTATCATTCGAGTCTGCCGCACCGCGAGTACAACAATGATCTTCCAGCGGTGGATAAGGAATGTCTGGAAGAGCTCAGAAAGGCCGGCATTATTGCCAAGCCGACCATCATGGTGAGGAGCTGAGCTTTTTACCCCCTGACGTTGTGGTTTGTCAGGTTTGCGTGCTGATACAGAAGTTGAATTGAAAATGCCCTCCACTTTGCTGTTGCTAGCATGTCTTGGTGAAAGTGTACGGACTTTGGTTCATCAAAAATCATCAAAGCGGGAGCCCTGCTATGCGGCTTCCACTTGAACCTTAACCAAGGCTGCTACAGAGGGTCGATGCAACCTCATACTCCTCACTCCTTACCTGATTGAAGCCAACTTCTTTGGGCACACTGCCAGATCCGGTGATTTTCCAGCACGACACCCTGCGATCAGAGCTTGCTGTAACTGTGACTGCTACTTAACCACCAGCACAGAGGTTCAACCCTCCTGGAATTCAATGCCCCTTGAGCACATTGTCAGACGCGATGATTATCAAGAAGCACGGCGTCTACCCTCCAATCAGAGGTTGCTGCAACCTTGTGAATGCTGACCCTGCCATTGCTGGCGTCAGACAGTTCACATCCTGCATCTCTCCCCTTGCAGTATGACGAATCCTCTCCCGTGGCCGCTTTGACAGCATTTGGGGGGACGGCCTTGAAGACGGTGTTGCTGCGTCCCGACTTTTACTTGATTATGCTGGTGCACATTGTCTTAAGCTACCTCTACTATGACGTTTGGCACAACCCGGTCATTCCAGCCGCTTCGACCGGCCAGGAGCAACCATGGCCGTTCATCTCGGCCGCAACGATTGGTGAGGATTGATCAGCACTCGTTGTTGTTTAATCACACTTGGTGGTCAATTCCAACACTCTGCCAGCTTTTCTGGAGAGTTCTTTCACAGAACTTAAAATGACACCGCGTCCGCTAGTGCATTCTCTGACCATTTTTGCGCACTTTGCGGATGAGGTGGTGTGGACACAATGTCTTGTAATTCTTGACATAACTCTCCTAAGGTCCCCTCAGAATGATATGTTACAGGAGAGGCGCCTTCTGGGCCTCTATGACTCCCCTGCGATGCTGTGAGATCATATCCCAGTTCTCGGAGGACACTAGGATCTACCAAAATGGCACAATTGATAGTTATGTGGATGGGGCACAAAGGAAATAGCCTCTGTATGAAACCTTTTTAGCATGTTCCAAGCATAGCGGGTCAATATTCTGCTTCTTCCACACAAAGAACATTGTAGCAGGTTCGCTCGGCTTCATTCACCCGCTCAGTATTTGGACCGTACGCCCTTCTAACTGGCTCACAACCTAATCCTAAGAAATCAACGACAACAAAGATCTGCAGGAAGCTATCCTTTTTATATATGATGCCAAAACCCCTGGTAATTGTAGTTCTGATTCTTGACCTGTGGATCTTTGCAGCCATTCCGGGGAGCATGATTGTCTTCTTCCTGGTCTTCCACACCAGTCAGGCATATACGCGCTTCTTCACGCAGTACCTTGCATACCGGGGCATTGAGGTACGCGCAATTGAAAACCCTATATTCTAAAAAAGGCCCCTTCTTCTAATCCTGGTTCTTAGGGAAATGCATCTTTAAGCCACTGTGGTTGGGGCTTTTGGGGTGGTGCTCAATAAGGACATGAAACTCAAAAGAGAGTCGGAAGCTAAGCTTGAGGTACATGAGGCTTTTGTATTGAAGCGGACGTAGGACTTCCAGTATGCCCTTGAGCCGACCCTCCCCTTCAGCAGCGCTTGACAAGCTGAGTTCCCCTTTGTTTCGCTCATAGCGTGTATTCGCCCCTCCAAATCTTTAAGACAGAACCGATTATACGGAGAAAAGAATCCGCGGAGATCCGAGAAAAAGAGAGAGTGCCTTAACTCGGTTAGCAGAGCCGTTTTCTATCTCATATCCACAGGGCAAGATCAGCCGCATCGCGTCAGAGCTCCGTACGAATCTCCCCGACGGCTCGTTCCCTGAGGCGCGCGTCGAGCGCCTCAAGATCGCGCGCTGGCTGCTATCTTTCCTGTACCTTGGTCTGGCGAACCTGCCGCAGTACAAAGACAACGGAGTGCTGGATTGGGCCTGGAAGCAGGTGCTGCAATTGGAACTGCTGACGGAGAAGGAGGAGAATAAGCTCAAGGCCCTGCCCAAGGGTAAGGGTTGAAAGTTTCGCCTCCTTCTTCAAGACTCTATAATCAATCCGGATTTCAGGTAGTGGTGTAAATCTTGGAGTTTGGCCCAAGCTGCTGATGGAGAAAGAGGAGACTAGATAAGCTCAAGGCGCCGTCCAAGGTCGAGGTTTGGAAACTTCTGTCTCCTTCCTTTTTGCTTTCTTCTGCAAAAATCTTCTGCATTATCAGCCCGGATGTCAGCTAGTAGTGTAGATTTCGGAGGTTAGAGCTGCTGATGGAGGAAGAGGAGAATAAGGGTCAATGTGCTGCCCAAGGGTGAGGGTTACAGAATTCTTGTGGAGGGTGTTGAGAGTATATTTCTAGGACTGATGTAAGATTTATGAATTGGAGCTGTCGAGTGAAGCGGAAGCAGACAGAGCTTGAGCCATTGCCGAAGAGAGATCCCGAAGGGTATAGGGCTTCACTATCAGTTGCTTGGTCTCGAAATTGGAGGTTGGAGTTGACAGTGGACGAGTTGGCTGAAAGTCAAGGCCCTGCCAAGGAGCCGGAGTTGAAGGGCCTGCCACATAAGAAAGTTCCTCCGATACTATTCATTCAGATCCTGGACTATGGTTTGGGAGTCGGAGCTGCTGAGGCTGATGTCGCCAGCAAAGCTCAAGGTCAAAAGTTTGAGCGCTTTGGAGTACGAAAATTTTGCGTCGAAATCTAGTAACTACATTCGCGTTTTTCAAGAACTTGGCTTTCAGGAAGTGGGGGGACATGGTGGTGGTCTGGAGCTTAGAGCGAGCTTTGCTTTTCCGTACATCTGAAAGTCCAGAAGTCGAGTTCTGGCTTAGGACAGGAGGCGAATCTCAAGGTCCTAGAGAAAGCTGAGCGCTCTAGAGCCTCATAGAGCTCATGTCGGTTTGAAGGTGATCCTGGAAGCATTTGCAACCGTCTGATCTGGGACTTCGGAGGCTTGCGAGGCGACGCTCACGGCCCCGTCAGACGGTAGGGTGTTCTAAGCGTTCGGCAGTAGAGTCCTTCTCCCTTCCATTCCATTAGTGCCGAGGTCGAAGTATCAATATACCACAGGGGACGCTCGAGGACTTCCAGAAGTCGAGCGTCTTGGGGTCTTTACTTGTTATAGTGTCCCGTCTGAAGCTCCAGACAGTATCAAAATACCATGAGAGAATGCACTGGAGGCGCTGGCAAGGGTGACCGTGTTTAGGGTATGGCTGACAGCAATTTCAGTCATGGCAAAAGCTTGTGGGCCACAACCTCAGATTCTGATCGCAAATGATCGATGATAAATGGAGGTTGCAACAGCGTCGAGACCGCGAATTTCCAGGCTATGGAACTGAATTGTCTCAAAAAACCTCGCGAGACCTCGCTGCATTCTTCACGAGTACACATAGGAGAAGCTAAGATTTCTCATACGTCGAACAGACTATTGAAAGCAGCTTTGATAGCAGTGAAAAATTGAGGCTGCATCTTTTTGAACCTAGTTCTCGTCTTTATAGAAGTTAGTAGCAAACTTTCCATTACGGAAAACTCTCTCCCAGAAAAAAATACAGACGTATTGTTCAGTTTCGCTAGGACAGAGGTAGCTTCCCTTGATATACCGTACTAACTTTTACGATTAGCACTTTTGTTGCGAATTTATCATTTTCGAATCGATCTGTCGTATCAGCAGGTTGCCAAGAAGTTTTCGGATCGATCTGCAAATCGGGGTTCTTAGCCTTTTCTGGTCGTTTTTGAGTATAAAGTGGTGAAAAATGCTAGAAAACATTTCCCGACACATTGGCAAGCTTCTCAAAACATTTTCTTTTTCGACTTGCATCAAGAAAAACATTTAATAAATGCTCATCTAAAAAGTTAGTATGGTAGATCCCTCTTCCTTGCAAGAGACCCTCGCAAAGATGCACGAGACTGACCATGCCTCGGCTCCTTCTGCAGGCCAGTCGCACGCCAAGGAGCTGATGTCGTGGATCTCGCAGAAGCTGTACAGGCTCGAGAAGGACGGGCGCATCGACGCGTTCTGCCAGAACGGGCTCCTCAGCCAGCTGTATGACGTGAGTTCACCAGACAGAGCCCCGCACCGAAACTGGAGAGCTTGGCTTCGGCCATTTACCTCTTCATTTTGAGGTGGCTGTAACGGTCTTCGTTTAGTGGCCGTTTATCATTCTGTTGGATACTATGTCCACGGGTGACAAGATGATTGGATGGATGAAAATGCTACACGTGCAGATCGGATAGTGTGTGATTGCGTGATTTTGAGGTTAACCTAGCATCCAACTTTTGACTTCTTGATGCCCGTTCATCTCAGTTTTCTTCTCAAAGGACCGACTTGCAACAAGAACCCTTGGGACATGGTTATCTCATAACCGTGATTGGTTAGCAATATATGCTGCGTTCCGAGCGGCCCCAGGCGGATGCCGTTTGATGGTCGTGTGCTGGTCTGGCATCAATTCCCCCTGTCCCCTTTGACGAACTGTCTCGCGCCCTTCGAAGACCGCTGACACATCTTACGCCAATTCTTTGACGCTCGGCTCCTCCTCCGTGTAAGCAGCAGCCTATCCTCGCTTCTCAGGAAGCACTCGCCCGCTCCGAGCCCGGCATGTCGTCACTTTGAATCACACCCGATGAAGCCACCGGGGATTCACGCTGACTGGCAGCGAACTCTTGCTGCTGTAGAAACCCGTTGACACCACATCTCGATGCGACTTGTGCAAAACGGTGTATCTGGTTGTCTGGGCGGACGGCACGTGAGGTGGTTCTTTGCCGTCGTGGGCGGACGGAAGGCGTCCGCCCCTGTGATACTCCTTGATGTCAATATGCAGCACCACATGAATCGTCAGCTCTTGACGTCACCCTTTTTTGGAACACTACGCGGGAAGCGGGCTGTCGCTGCTGGAGAACCACGTGGTGCTACCAATCCAGTCATGCTAACTTCGCCCATCAGCTCATGATGTCAGAGTGCCACGTCATCCCATGACGTCACCCTTTTTTCCTCACAGGCGGGCAGCGAGCTGTTGCTGCTCAAGAACCACGTGTTGACATCAACCCCGTCCCGCTAACTACATTCATCACCTCAGTCACAGTGCCACGTCAGCTGATGACGTCACCCTTTCTTCCTCGCAGGCGGGCAGCGGGCTGTCGCTGCTGAAGAACCACGTGGTGATGCCGGTGCCGTTCGCGTTCTTCCACCTGCAGAACTTCATTCTGATCATCTACCTGCTGCTGCTGGCGTACACGTACACCATGTTCGCGCGCTACTGGTCCATCCTCGCCATGTTCCTCACCTGCCTCTCGCTCCTCGGACTGCGCGAGCTCGCGTGCGCGCTCTCCGACCCCTTCGGCAACGACGACACCGTGCGTGCCCTCTGGGAAAAGTTCTTTACTTCGTTGCGCATCATGCTGGCTTTTTTCGCTCTTCACTTCGTCTTGTGTACAGTTGCCTTTTTCCTGCTCTTTACTTTCGTAATTTCAATTTGGTGTGACGTGACTCCAACCCCTTCGGCAACGACGACACGGTGCGTGCCGTGAAGAATGCTTTCTCTCGTGTCTCTTGTCCCAGTTTGTTTTGCATGACTCTCGTCAAACTCCGATCCTTATACGTCCAAAGCTGGGTGCCCACGAACAGCGTGGCCTCGTGATTTGGTAGCCCCGCATTTGCATGAAGAAACAGACCCTCCCTTTCCAGGCTGCATGTCTTATTGACATTCCTCAAAAAGAGGATTCTCACACTCATGTGCGCAGAGTCTAAAGCTCGTAATTGGAACTTGTTAAAGCCCGCTGATTGAGATCCTGACTTGGGACGCTCTCCAACCCCGCAACAGCGGTGGACCGCTGAGCGTCGAATCACACTGGTCCTTCTCGTCGTTTCTAAGACCGCCTTCTCCAACGCGAAGCTGACTCTAGTGTGCCTGTGAGCTTGCGTGCGTCCGTCGATCGAATTCCTCGACAATAACGCAGTGGGTGCCAGCGAACAAGAGGCTTCACCCTCCCCTTTGCTGTAACAACCGGTGCGGCTGGCCGCGCTCGCTCGTCATCAATTGTGACGCTCCTGCTAAGGTGTTTCAATCTGCCCCTCAGGACTTGCCCATCTTTGACTACGTCATCGAGATACACGCGTTCATCTCGACCTTCGTCAGCATGCCGGGCCTCGAGAAAGACGAGTAGGACGTAAGAGGTGTGCAGTGAGCAGTGCAGAGTGACAGGGGGCATAGTGAGCTGTCCATGATGTGGCACAACGAAGTGCTGTGCAGATAGCGAGAGGGATTTTGCAAGATACCCAGACTCTGCCTCTTTGGGAGATCAGTGCAAGATGGGTGCAACACGAGTCAGTCTAATTTTTCGTCTAGAGTTGAATCTGTCTCCTTAAGCTCAGAGTTTTGAGCTAGTCAAAATGGTGGATCGAGGAGATTGTTCGTCTTCAGTCAATCAGAGTCTGGTGATGCGGCACAATTTTCCGAGCCTAGCTCGTCTGAGGTCTACATTCTGCCAGCTTTGAGAAGCTGTTGCGGTTTCGATCCAGTGCCAAAGATCGCTGAGAAGCTACGGGCCGCTGAATGCATCCTACTGAAGCCCACAGGAAACTTTATCTTTGCTTTTGTACGTGAGTACGTCGGCGTGTGCCTGCTCATTCGGAGATACGGCATATGGCTGCAAGCAGGCAATCATGAAATTCTATACAGTAATCAAAAATTCGGATCGGCCGCTCTTATTGAGTTTTATTGCCTCTATACGCCCTTGTCGATCGGACCATGTGAATTCTCCAACTTTTAAATCTTGGCGTGCTAGCCTGCGCCCGCCAATATCCATGGGTCACCGTCTGCTCCATGCATGGGGCCGGCCCAGGCTAATTAAGTCAAATCGATCATCATTGGAGCTCAGATTCAAAAGCACACATGCCATGCGTCACTTCGTCCACATGATGATGTACGTGTTCTGTTGCTACCCAGGCGGTCATCGATCGTAGCAGAAGTTGGCTGCGGGTTTATCGAAATTGTCCAGGTTGTTCTCGATCAAGACCGAGGGTCAAGTCAAATCTTGGGAAGTCCACAATGATAACAGCATTCTTCTGACATCATCGCGTCATGAAAAGACGCGCAGACTTCATGCGCACCAGATCAACTCGACCCAAATTCCGCCAGCCACTTTTCGTGGCGCTCAATGTCGGCGTGCGACACGCTGGGCTGGATCTTAGCTAGCGCTTCCTCGAAGTCCTTCATAGACACCGGATCCGACATGTCCTCCTTAGACATGTTCTTGATCTCTTCTGGGGTGAGCCGCCGGCCTGCAATCCGCCGCCGGATGCCATTCATTGACGCGTCCCTCGAGATGTTGGTCAGGTCGTCTCCGCTGTAGCCCTCCGTCCGCTTCGCGAGCTCGTCCATGTCCACGTCGCTCGCAGTCTGCAACAGAAAACCTTGTCCGTTCTAAGACTCGTCAAAAGAAATGACACAGGATCCACGTTTCTACAGGTCAAACTGAGGCAAACACACGCACAAAACAAGGAACAAACCCAACCCCGGAGTCAAGGTCAACTGAGGAAGAACGCCTTCTTTTGCTGCCGCAACTCAATCACAAAAAGGCAACCCGGAACAGGTCTCAGCCAAGAGGTGACCGCTTCTCGTCAACCAAAGAAGCTCTTGCGAGGACCAACCCGACAAATCAACCAAAAAGCAACAAACAGTGCAGCCAACGTCAGAAACAACGACCCCGCACCTCAAGCCCCGACAGGTTGATCCGGAACAGGTCCTTGCGCGCCTCCGCCGACGGCAGCGGGATGTAGATGCGCTTTTCCAACCGCCGCCGCAGCGCTTCGTCCAAGTCCCACGGGAAATTTGTGGCGGCGAGCACCATGACGATCTTTTTCTCTTCGCCCTCCGGAACCTGCATGAAAGAGCTTTCAAATCCTAAGGAACGAAGCGTTAGGGATTATTTGCGTGAGACGGGTGAGGTTCGTTTAAAATCTAGGTTGTGTACGGGTGCGCAGCAGATGATCTCGAGGGTTAGGATTTTGCTGTTACTCAGGAGTTCACAAGTTTCAACGCTTTCTCATCTTGAATGGAAGAGGGTTCGGATTCTGGTGGTACTTGAGAGTTTATAACCCCTAATGCTTACCCAGCCTCAATGGAAAACTCAATGGAAGAGACGTACCTGCGTGCTATTGATCCCGTCGATCTGCACGAGCAGCTCCGACTTTACGCGCCGACTCGCCTCGTGCTCCCCGGCAGCCCTGCGCAAACAAGCGTTTGTGTTTGGTCCGTGGGGCACGAGCGTTAGTGACGGATGACTTTGTTGAAGTTTTTTGTCTCATTTGAGGCCAGGTGAACCAATCTTCAGGATGGTCACGGATTGCCTAATCGATTGTCTTACTTGAGTCGTATTGTGCGGCTGCTACAAGGCTTTTCCAAAAGTACACACAGTCTAATCCACTTGATAGAAGAATGCTAAGAAAGGCCTCATCCTGTGCAAAGTGCACACCGGATCCATCTTCTCTCAAAGATACTGCCGGATGCATGCGGCATACACAAGCACTACACCACGTGCTGTGTGCAGAAAGTAGACCCGATTATAAAACCCTCAGAACCAATATTCCCGAATGCGAAAACGCTTCAAATCCACCTCACCCGCGCGAGGTGCAGAGCGAGTCGATCTCGTCGATGAAGATGGTGCTGGGCGCGTGCGCGCGCGCCATCTCGAAGAGGCAGCGCACCATGCGCTCGCTCTCGCCGCGCCACTTGGACGCGAGCGTCGCGGACGAGACGTTGAAGAAGGTCGTGCCGCACTCGGTGGCCACCGCCTTGGCCAGCAGCGTCTTGCCCGTGCCGGGGGGGCCGAACATGAGCACGCCCTTCCAAGGTCGCCGGATGCCCTGCGAAAGATTCAAGGGCTGTTCGTTCTCTCTTTATGTTTTTGGCAGCACATGAAGACCAGGCGGGCATCATTTCAAACGTGTACTTAAGGGCGACGAGGAGAGCACGCCCTTCCAAGGCCGCCGGATGCCCTGCGAAAAGAGCGCTAAGAAGTTTTTCAACGTTTGGGTTAAAACAGCATTGAATTCAGGCGAGCAGCACTAGGTCTGCCCCCCTGACCTTAGAGGGTTGAGGGGCCTCGACTTGCTTCAGAGTTGTGGTTGAGGGCAGAGGGCCTGAGCAAGCCCTTCCACAACTGCCGGATGCCTTGCGGGAAACGGATTGCGACTTTGAACTTTTCTACAGGGGTTTAGGCGTCACTTTCGAAGCTCAAGCGGACCGCTTTAATGAAGGTTTAAGGGCTTCTCTTGGAAAGGGATTGGTGGTGAAGCGCAACCAACTTGCGGAGACACACCATTGTCAGAAGGACGTGAGCACTTACGCTACTCAGAAGGGGGCAGCATAGTCGCATGGCCCGGCAGGACTGCTGAGCACTGAATTGGAGGCCGCAGCTTTCCGACAAAACTTTCTGTTAACAGAAAGGGCTCACTCAGAGACACAGCCAGGATTGCCTCCAAATGAGTGCAGAGGCGTCCGTCTGATGAGCTCTATGACGACCGCCACCGAAGCTGGATTTACTCACATGAGCAGCGTGCGAAAAAATGTAACCGGAGAAAGTATAACCAAAAGTGCGAGTATTCACACCTGGAAATACTCGGGCATCCAGAGCGGCAGCACGACCGCCTCCTCAAGCAGCCGCTTGGCTTCCGTCAGCCCCGCGATGTGGTCCCACTTCACACCGGGGGACGTGTCCACCACGTCGCGCTCCAGCATCGCGGCCAGCTCTTGGTCGGGGCCCTCGTACTTGTGCGTCTTCACCGGCTTCTCGTCGTTGTCCTGAAGAATCAAATGGATTTACGTTAGTACATTTCGGAATGGGGGAGCAATGTGTTTTTTAGTTGGCTTTCGACTGTTTCGCCGACCCAAATGAGTGTGCACCCGGCATTGCGGCCAGCTCTTGGTCGGGGCCCTCGTACTTGTGCGTCTTCACCGGCTTCTCGTTGATGTCCTGGGAGGGAAGGACGGGGAGGATTAAGTTGGCACGTCATGTTCAAGAACTGGCTTTCGACCGTACAATCTCGGTTCAACTACAGCGTCGCAGCCAGCTCCTGTTTGGGGCCCTCGTACTTGTGCGTCTTTAGTGGCTTCTCGTCACTGTCCTGGACAACGGAAAGAGACGTGTCAGCACGGCTCCGGAGGAAACGTGAAGGGCGACAGGGTTTTTATCCTGGGTGCGAACTTTTCTGCTTCTCATTGACCGTCTTTCTTTTCTCCATCCTGACGGCCAACTCTCGGTTGGGGCTCTCATCCTGGGGCGCTTTGAACAGGCGTTCGTGTTTGTCGGCAACTGAATTGAACGTGTCAAAATGTTGAGAAGCATTTCATCTTAGCGGGTTGAGTCCCATGATTATCGCTATTATGTCGGCCCGTGGTGGCGAGAGAAAGATGACTAATTCTCATTCGTCGGCATCGAATATGTGATAGGAAACGTATGCTTCAAGCCTTTATTTACGCGCACTCGGACGTCTTCCCATCATCGCCATGCAGGAGGTGTAAAAGGCGAGAAGTTGGAATAAGTTTGGGGAACAATGGAGAGCGAGTAAGTTACGCTGCATGGTTGATCTTCTTGAAACGTTGTCTGCCAGTGTGAATGTTGTCAAAGTACTGGTAAGGGACAGATTAATTTAAGCCGATGCCTGGCTGCGACTTGGCCGTGCTCCTGCCTGCGTCCTCCCGTCAGGGTCTCTCCAGATAGACCTCTCTGAGCGAAGCCTTCCCATAGCTGGAAAAAGAAAAAGAGCTCACCGAAACCCCAGGTTCTGCCCGAGGGGGCGTCTTGTCTTTCGTCCCGTCCTCCCGCCTGGGCACAGCCGGTTTCCTCTCCCGCGCTCCGTGCACGCTTCCTTTCTGAGGGGTCCCATTATCCTTGGCAGCCGCCCCCCCTTTCCCAGGCGTCGCGCCCCCGGGGGCCCCCCGCCCCTTCCCATTTGCCCCCGCTTTGTTCTCGCCCGCCCTCCGTGATCCTGCCTGCGACCTCCCTTCAGAGTCTCGCCTACCCCCCCAGTCTCCTTCCCCCCTCCGAATGTTCGGCCCCGGACTAACACCTGAAGCGCTCGCACTCCGGCCCCCCCGGCTCTTAGAAGCAGACCAAGGATCTCTGGTGGGGGGGCGCCACACGTCAGGATCTTCAGGGGGGGAAGCTGGCTGATACAAAGGTTCGGGGGGGAACTGGAGCTGCTGGCGGACCCCCCCAGGACGGGGAGACGTGTTTCGGGCGAAGCCTGGGGGCTCGCGGAAAGCCATGCGAGCCACGTCAAGCTGCTTGACTAGATTGAATTCCTCGGTGAGGTCTTTCTTGCACTTGAGCCACTTGGATTGAATGTAGGGGTCGTCTACGCTGCGCAGGTGCCTGCATGAGTTGTCTGAAACGTTAGATGGTCTGTAAACGCAGAAAGAGACGGTAGGTTCCTTGGGGTTCGAACGAGCCCCATGAGTGGCCTTTGATGAGGAGAAAGTGGCATGGAACAAGTGTCACTCCAAATGCGAAGCTTCAGCCGCTCGAGGAGACGATGGCTTGCACAGGAGTATTGACAACTATTGACTGCAAACATGAAGGAACTGACCCTTGGGGCATCCTAACTTAGAGGTATACAGCGGACCATAGGGAGTCTCAAACAAGCCGCTTTGCAATCTTTGTCTCAGCTTGAAATAGTTCGGATCTTTTTGAGGTCCGAAGGTCAGATCTCAACAAACAACCGGTTGGTTCAAACTTGAGACATTTGGTGAAGTTGCAATGCCTGATGGTGTGCGTTTTGTAACTTGACAATAGGCTCTCAGGACTTGGGTTGCAAGACGCTAGTATCAGCCAGCCTGGTGAGCAACATCAAAGCAAGAGCCCACTCAAAAAGAATGATACTGCAGCGACGGTGGACATCCGAAGTCAATCTCACCAGGAAAAACCTCCTTAGATGACTCATAGGTGAGCTCTACTTACTTGTTGATCTGCGATATGACCCCGTCAAAGCAGACAAGAGCTGTGTCATACTGTCCGAGTAGTGCGTACTCTCGGGCCAGTGTCATGTGATCAATGATGCCCGCAAGCGCCATCATGTTTCCTCTGCTAGAGAGCCTACCAGACCCTTGAAGCTTAATACTCAAGCAGCAACTTGGCGAGCAGTGCGGGGCCTATGCATTCAGGCCCTTTCCCTTCGATCAATCCTTACAAGACAACCCAAAAACGTTGTCAAAGCTGCTGAAACGTTCCTTCACTGAAGACTCAGCGCCCTGTAAGCGCCTCCACTGTCCACAGAATTTACAACTTTCTCATGTGCTACATATCTTGCTTGTGAACAAACCCTAGACAGAACGGGCTCAGGTCAGCGAGTCAGCCATCTGGAACCCGGAATGTGGGTGTAACCGCAGCCAAAATAGTCGGGAAAAGCAGCGGAACCCTAACTCTCAAAGCCTTTGACAGAGGCCCTCAGGCTGCTCTCGAAACGATACCCTGTACAGTTGAATCAATGAATGAATTGTTCAAACTGGAGAGGCAATGTGTTGCTCTCCTTTCTCTTCTGCAATTGGCATTCCCGCATGAATCTTTAGAGCAGTTCGCCTGCGGCCTGCCCCAGAAAACACAGGTGCCTCTCTTGAAAGTTTTCATCTGATCCATCGCACATTTAGAGAGGCAGCTATGGACGACCCGTCGCAGCCCGCGTCTCCAGAGGGAAAGGAGAGGCGGGTGGTGGCTGGGTTTGCCAAGATCAGGGGCATGGGCTGGGAGTTTTTCATGCAGAAGTACGAGATTGTGATCGGGAGGAACAGCAAAAACACGGCGGTGGACATCGATCTGGCGAAGGACGGTGGTGGCATGAATGTCAGCCGGAGGCATGCGAGGATCTACTACAACTTCGACAAGTGAGTTTACTCTTTCTTTGATGCAATATTCAGACTTACGCAGCACGGCATGAGGAGACTGCTGAGCGTCATGACAAGCCAGTTTTACTGCAAGGGGCCCTTGTGGTACTATCAAAATTTTCAAGTGCGCTTCTTTGCAGACCCTGCCGTTTGTGTAGTCAGGGGCCCTGCCATCAAGCGTGTTTCAAATAAGACATGGGGAATATTCTGACATTTGAAAGGGTTTCTCCGAAGCTTCTTGTAAACCACCATAGCGCTCTACATTTTGCAGTTTTCTACTTACCGCATTCTCCAACACTCCCTGTGAAGCCGGATGCCTCTAAAGCATCCTTCAAAGTCTGCAGATGCAACTTACATTTTCTTGTATGCGCCAGAGCGCACGCACAAATATGCCCACGGTAATTCACTTATATCAGTCCCTTCCTTGCACAACCAAAGTCCCCGACGGCGAACCTTCTTTTGGAAGAACCAATGTTAGAATAGCTTCTTCAAATTACTGAATCAAGGTCCTGAGCCATGACCTGATGAAATTGTTTCATGTTGCAGGAAGAGATTTGAGATTGAGATTCTTGGCAAGAACGGGGCGTATGTGGACGGCCAGCTTCGAGTTCCCAGCGATGGCCCCATTCCCCTGAACTCCCAAAGGTGTGCTTATCTTTTTTCAAAAAAGCCATCATCCTGTGCTCACCGCTGTGCATTTGGGAGCCCTTGAGGATGGTGTAAGGGCTACCTTCGTACATGGATTTGGAAATGTGTTTATCCTGAACATGCGATACAAACAACCTAAAAGGCCCTCAACATTCTTCTGTAAGGTATCAAAGTTCAGTAGAGCCTTCTAAGGTGTTACAACCTGTCTACTTGTCATTGGAAGCCTCTAAGAGATTCACAACAAAAACGGACCCACTCGAGTCTTTTCTGACCATCTTAGACACTTTTTCAACTACTGGGCCTCATATTGCTTACTCAGAGTGGGGCTTTGCTTGTTTGGCTCAACGCCTCCTACTCTGGCGCCTCTCCACACTTTGATAGCAATGCGAGATGCCGCCAGACAGGCAATAGCAAATCGTGCTGTTTCTTTCAGAAAATATCGAGTACTTTCCAATCCATAAACGGCACTTTACACAAATGCAGCTTGGTCGTGGTGGGGGACTTTCCGTTCTACTTCTTGCTTCCAACCAAGAAGGTCGAGAAAAGGCGTGCTCCAGTACACAGTAGGTTCCTCCAACTTCAACACAAAGCTACTCTTTCCTGAGTGTCTTGCCCCATGTTGCTGTTTCGGAGTGATCATTGAAGTTCGCTGTTGTTGTCGGCAAAATTGTTGCAACTTGGAATGAAAATGAGGAGAGGGGAAAAAAACTAAAAACAAGGGCTGCTGCTTTAAGGGCTTCTGAGAGGGCTTGCGGTCAGGTTTGGATGCTTTTCTCTTTCTGACTTTGCATTGCCACGCCAGCTGGAGGAGCTGCAGAAGCCCTTTCTGCAAGACTTTGTCCAATCGGAGTTCATGATCTTAGTAGTGACTGAAAGCTCCGTTCAATTGGATATGAGTGGATCGGTTGTAGTAGAGTAGTAGCTACCATGAGTTTACCTCTGCACGCAAACACAGTACTTTCTGAGAAAAGTGCCTTGTCTGAGAGATCTGGCTGATTCCTAGTTTGTCGCGAATGCTGCGGTGAGCTTGGCTTCATCTTTGCTGCTGTGCAATTGTCATATGAGACAACATATGTCTTATCTCATCCATCTCGTTTGCTTCTGAACAGATGGGGACCAAAACAGGCCTCTGCACGAAGGAGCCGACGAGTCCGAAGACGCAAACGGCGCTGCCGACTTTGAAGCGGAAAACGAGGGCTTTGACCCTGGGTTCGATGCGAAGCAGGCGGTTCAGGACGAAAAGCCGAAGCGGGGAAAGCGCAAGTCGCACCACGAGGAGAACGAGAGGGGAGGCGAGATCGGATATGAAGGGGCGGGGCCATCGCCTATGGAAATCGAGGGCCTTGGGACCGAAGGAAGTGGTAAGAAGAGGAAAGCAGGCTTGCAGAGGACTAAGCACGAATCTGGGGAACAAGCGCAGGTGGCTTGGGAGCAACCGCGCAATGGAGCGAATTCCATGCCTCACGAAGAAGAAAAGTTCGACAGAGCGGCACGGAGTGGGAAGCAGGAAACGCAGGAGGAGAAGCCGAGAGCTCGGAAGGGGGCCGATGCGACGGCGCCCAAAGGGGGGATCTACGTGAGAAGACTGGAACCTGCGGAAGAGAAGACAGACGAGGTCGTGCTTTTGTCCGAGCAGGCTGCGAGCAAACGGAAGCATGACGCTGAGGACGGTCCGGGGGTGCCGAGCGGCAGCCAAAAGAAAGCTTCCAAGAAGAAAGTGGACCCCCCTGCCGAAAGCAGAGCCGCCCGAGAGGGATCCCCCGGGCCCTCTTTCCAGGGGAGAAGCTTGCGTGTGGCGTCTCCCCCGAGGCGAAAGTGGCCGGCGGACGGAGATGCCAAGCCGGGGAAGGTCGCGCCGACGTCACCAACTAGAGCGGCGGCAAAACGAGCGGCGGCGGAGTCGACGGAAGGGAGTGCTCGGAAAGAAAGAGGGAAGAGTGGGCCTGAGGAGACGGGGGCGGGGAATCGCCAGGCGGCAGAGCGGGAAGTGGTGGAGGCAATTGCGGAGATTCTGGGGGCGCAGGACGACCCGGCAGCAGCCGTGCCTCTGAACAAGCTGTTCATGCAGGTTGGTGTCTGCTCTTCCTTTTGATTGGTCTTCTCGATTGGAAAAGAAAGGAAGTAGAGGAAACTGGGATTTCCTCGAAAGAGGGAGGACCCACTATGGCCCTGGTGGGTTGGCGTGTGGCTCTCCCCTTTACTTACGACGTGAGAGCGTTGAGTAGGTTTTCTCTGGGAGGAAAGCGCGTCTATTTCCTCTGCTGGCCGGACTGTTGCTCTACATGCGGCCCTGATCTTTTGTCAAACGCTCTCTTCGCTCGCTTCATCTTCTTCGATCTATGTCTTCCGCTGTGTCTTTCTTGACTTTCTTAATCCTAGGAAAAAAAGTTGAACAATACAAGCCGGTGATTTTGTAGAACATCAACCGTTAAGTCTGATAACATAGCCGATCCAACACGTTCACCAGGAACGCTCGGTCTACCTGCGGGGGAGCCATCTTTGGAGAAATTTCCTTCTTATGGGCTCAAATCCAATGAATGCTGCCAATCGTACTGGCACCTAAGCGTCCTTAAAGAGCGCCCTCAAAAGAATCATGATCTATCTTGTGTGCGCATCTAATGTTGGTTTCAGCAACGGGTGTTTGCGTGCAAAAGGACGGAATTCCTAAGGATGGTTCTGACGAGTCACGTTGTCTGCGGTTAATGGGTTAGCAGATCTCGAGCTGATTTCAAGCAGTGACCGTCTCTGGATACGGGAGTTGTGAGGAAGGAGTAGCCCTAACGCTTGCGCCACCATTCGCTTGTGCAGTTCTCGGAGCGTCATCGCCAGCTGTATGAGTGGACAGTGGGTTTCCTCTTAGGCGCCACAGAAGAAGACACTTCCGAGCAGGTGCATCGGCCGTGGCTGGCCTTGGCGAGTTTCTTGAAGCGACATCCTCAGCAGTTCGTGGTTGAGTCACAAGCGAAAGGCCGGCTTGTGTCCTGGTATGCTAGATTGAGGCAGCCTGAATCGTGAGCCGTCAAATGTTTTCGCTCGGATTAAACTTACTAAACCGCCTCAACAGATGCAAGAAAGCGTTCTCAAGACAGCTAGTAGCTCTCGTCCAATTCTTCACTTCAGCGGTCAACAAAAGGAAGTGTTGGTGCTTTGCTAAGTTTGAAGTTTTGATGTAGTTCCTCGATAATGCCGGCAGCTCTTCATCGCCGCAATCTTATCACCGGCGCAATATTTTCACATATATGAAGGGGCTCTCAGACGGCCCCAGCATGGGGCTGCACACTAAATTGAGATTGGTGATCGGGATTCTGTCCAGAAATACATGATGCCGTCGTTTTGTCCTTCCATCCGTGAGATGCATTGGTCGCGCCGGCATGCAACCTCCATAGCGAAGCATGCAGAAAATTCACGAGTTGAAAATCGTTACTACATTCATGCAGCCTGCTCAAAGGGGTCATGCCCAACGATAATGCCAGCTTGTTTAGCGTGCACGACACCGGGTTGAAACCATAACAATGTCTCTAGTGCATACTAATCACGAGACGTTTGGTATTGCTCGAGATAGGGCTGAGTTGATACAGTGGCGACCATCAATCCTAGGTAGGTGCACAGCCTTAGCCCTTGCCCAAACTTGCTTCAGCACAGCAATCGGCCAGGCTCACTGATCCAATTCAGAACATGCCGCACTGAGTACAACAATACGTTGAGGTGCTCAACCATAGAACAAGGATGAGCATGCCGTAACTTTGTGATGTTGATCTGTATTCACCAAAAGCAGAAACAAAGGCATGTCATGCTTGAGCTACCCGGATTTCTCGACCCAGAAATAAGAGACGCTCGGCCATATAGAGAATGTTTAGTGAACACGCAAGTACCACGGGGTCTCTCGCTGCACTAGCTTGCGCCCCAGGTACTGCAGAAGGTTTGCAGCGGTCTCTCGACGCTGCCTTGCGAAAGAGAGATGGCACCTCAATGCTAAAGAGGGGCTGTACAGTAGAAACGCCCTGCTTAATCGAACAGGCTGAAGCCCATGTCCTGCGCACAACGAAACCCAAATGCTATCAGGACAACGCACAAGGGCTCTTCGCATACACTGTTCCAACGTTGTCCCATATGACTAATCACAAGAACCTCAGCCGGGCGAATTCAAACACTGGAAGAAACCTACCTGCCCAAGAGACTTGTCAAATAAGAACTAGAGTGAGCCAGGAAGAAAACATTGAAGAGCAAATTCCAGGCAAATCAGCCGACATCACAATGGGCCCTGGCAAGTGATACGCGAAGCCTTTCCAATTATGTTCTACAGACTTGTGACCCATGTCCTGCCATGCCATGTCGAGCTCTCGAGTCTCCTCCCATCGACTCACAGGCCAATGCATGCTCTCCCTTGGATGCCTCTCAAGCAGCAAGCTCTTAATACCGTTTTGCACTCTCAACTCAACCAACTTGGTCTCAAGGCCTGAGTCAACCCGATGGCACCCTGATCTTTCACAATCGAACACGCATCCCCAGGGCAAACCTCTACAGCCAAAAAACCCCTGCATCGTTCAGCCCTTTGCCGTGTCCAGTTCCGACAAACTCCACAACACACAATATTCAGGCCCTAAGTTCCGAAAACCGGTATGCATCCTCCAGCCAACCCGTACTAGAGTGGAAGGCCACAAGGGGCCGAGGACACAAGATGCTAAACCTCACCTCGTCCTCCTCCTCTTCCTCCTCCTTCTCTTCCTTCTTCTCCTCCTTCTTCTCCTCAGCAGCGCCGCCACCACCGCCGCCGCTGGACACGGCACCACCGCCACCACCGCCGCCGCCGCCGGAAGGCACGGAGGCGAACTTTTCCCTCCCGAGCGCAATCACCTCCGTGATGTCCTTGCCCTCCAACTCCTTGAGCAGGAGCTCAATCCTCTCGTCATCGGCCTCGGCACCAACTGGAAAGATAAGGCAAGGGAATGTCAAAAGGTTTTCTCGCCACTCCCTCGGGCAAATGTCCATTTTCTCTGCTTCAGGGCAAGTACTTCCTTGACGAAGCTATGAAAACAGAGAGGAACACTTTGTGCTGAACATCAATCTGCAGGCCAACTTTGTCTGGGTTCAGTTAGCCGGGCACTTTCATATGCCCTCGATAGACTAACAAACAGTGCCAGAACATGCGGGCATGCTTGAGTTTGCTGCGAGTCATCTTGCAAGACGCTGATGCCTAACGGGTGTGCGAACACTACAATGTTCAGGTTTGCCTTGCAACAGACACACACGTAAGGCAACGGCACCACTCTTTTGACTCTCTGAAGGAGGAGGTCAACTTCGTAACAAAGGCACGGCTCCGATCATCTATCCCTCATGTTTGGCCAGTGGCCCCATCATTAATGAGATTAATCCTCTTAACCCTGTACCGACCGGAGACCCTGTTCCTCAACCATAGTGCAACTCCAAACCTATCGTCAGCGGATTGACTGTGAAAGAAGACTGTCAACCCAATTTCCGAGTGTCTGTGCTAAAATGCGTTTCTGTGCAGCACTGCCCTCTGTTGCATCTATACCCTCTGTTGCATTTGAACCCCACTTCTTCGGAAGAAAGAACAAGAACTAACTCCCAGAGAGAACGGAGCTCTTAAAAGACATATATCTGCTGGAGAGTAATTACTATGCCTTACCAACTGCGAACTCCTGCTGATACGATCGTGAACAGGGGCGACAAGAGGTCAACTACTGATGGGCATTCTTCCTTGCCCGCACTTAAACCATTACCAATCGGCTCCAGCTGTCACACCCAACGAATCAGCGACGTTTAAGATCTCAAGAATCCCTCTGTGCTTACTCCAGCTGTTTTATCGTCCCAAAAATTGCTCGGCTCCATGACACTGATTGGCTTGACAGATAAGCACATTAGATGCTCATCAAAAGAAACAAGACTTTACAGATGGACTCGAAAATATAATAAGCCACTTCCTGGACTCACTGCAGCAGCTCTGGTCACTCTGCACTTGCACGGTAAAGGTTCGATTCATGGGCACAAAAAAAACCGGCAGCTCGGAAGCCCAGAAGCATGACTGCCCCAACCATTACCATCCCTACTTTCCCAATCGTAAGGCGATGGCCCAGCACCTGACTTACAGGGAAACCTATCCAACAAAAACTTCCCCCATCCTTCAATCCAGATTCCTTGCCTCTATGATAAAACATCCCTGGCTCAAGCATGAAAGGCAGGCCACAAATAAGCTGTGTGCTATAAACCTCATTCTCTTCTACTTGCAGAATCTGCTACTGTGGAGCCCTAGAAGCAAAAGGCAGCTTTTAAGGAGGGACGCCCTTAGAAAGACGGCGCCAATCATAGAAGCAGGCTGTAGCACTCGCGTTAACCCTACCTGAGCTCAGAATATTCTTGATGTCCTTCTCCGTGGGGCTGCTCTTCCCCCCCAGGACCGCAAGAAGGTAGGCAGCGACGACCTTCATTGTGACTGCTGACAAAGAATGCGCCCCTGCGTCTGTCTGCCCGTCTGCGAGATCGGCTGCGAAAGAGGGAGAAGGAGTAGCGAGGCGGGCAGCTCCTTCTCAGCAGATCCTCTTCGAGTTCAAAATCCGAAACCTCAGGGTGTGCCGTGAGAAGCAAAGTTTCTCGAAGAGGAAGCTCCGGACAGAGGGCTTCGACGACAAACTTTAGAAGGCGCGGAACTGGACGCCTGAAAGTTCTTCGAATCGAAGAATGGACCGTCGAGCAAGCGCCAGCGCTCAGAACTCGACTCGACCCTGGCCCTGGGGCCACGCAAATTGAAATGGAGCACGTGAAAGCTGCTCATGCGAAGCGTTCTGCTTGCCAATGCCAGGTTGCAATCCTAGACGCAAGTCACGCGCCCCAATCAAGTAAGACCACTACCGGTACTGATTCTCTTGGTCCCAGCAGACGTTTTTTTCCTGAAGGCTAGGCTGGATCTGAGGAGGTGTGCAAGTCAATGGCGGCGGATGCAATGGACACTGCCCTGGGCTTGCTCGGTCACCTTCCCGAGGGCTCGCTCGTCATCATCAAAGACTCGCTAGCCGCCAGCGGTTCTTTCCTGCTACACCACTACATCAGCAGATTGTTGGCTGCCCCAAAAGCTGAAAAGCAAACTCCCACGTCAATTGATGTTCGTACTGAGAAGTCCACTGCTTTTGATGGGAGGGTCGGTAAGGTTCCTTGTAAGGTTTGCCTGGTGGCATTCGATCAGAAGTTTTCACACTTTGCAAATGTGGGCCGGAAGCAGGGTGTGAACCTGGTTGCAAACGCAGAGGAGGGCGCGCTACGGTTCGTCGACGGCATCTCGAAACCGTTCGAGTGGGGGGGAGTACTTCCTCGTAGCACCCCATGTGGCGCGGTTGAGACATCCGAGAGTCTGGAGAGCTTTCTCGAGGGGGGTCTACAGGAGCTATCAATCACGGGGGAGCCGCAGTCTGTCAGAAGCGCTTCTCCAAGCGCCCCCCAGGGCGTAGTAAAACAGATTGAGACCTCATTAGGAGGTACACTACCAGTCACGCCCCCTTCTGCTGCCATATATCCACACTCTAATTCTAGGAATGTGCCTGGCGTCAGCAGCACTGGAAGGTCACAATCTCCTTCTGTTAAACAGCCCAGCCACGTTACGGCAATGCTCCCTCCCACATTCACCTGCCACATGCACCCCCCGCGAACACCAAGAAGACGGAGTCCACTTCAAGCCCTCTGTCAGCAAATATCTGCAGCTGTGTCGGACCTCTCTGATCAGTCAGAAGCTGAGGCAAAGCAGAACAAACGGGCGCCACTGGCTGACGGGGGCCTTGCTATCGTCTTTGATGACTTGGGGGGACCGGAAGCTGCATGTCAGGGCTCGGCGCATGAGGTCCTGGCGCTGCTCAACTGGTGCCGGACACTGCGGAGTCAAAACGGAGAGGTGCGTTTGATAAGTACCTATTGGCTGAATTGAGAGACTCTCCTCTTTGACTTGGTCGGGTGTCCTGCTGTAATTTTTCTAAGACAATTGACCAAGCTATATAACATGGGAAGGGGCCGCTGCTTTGAATGTTTGGACAGAGAGGAATGTTTCTTGCTGGTAGTTCTGGAGAGTTGGACTGTTCGTGCTTTTTGTTTCAACGGTTTGTGCTGGGTCTACGTACTTGCATCTTTGGCAAAAGCCTGAGGCGCCGTGCAGGGTGTGTGCTTTGGCTTGCACCTAATGTCGGCCCCGCTCGAGTAGAAGTCGAACCTGTTAACATTTAGGTTTGGGGCTTCTGAAAAGTGGCGGGTTGTTCCTTGAGACGGGGAAAGCAGCTAGCAAGTGAAGGTCTTTGGGCGACGGCCATGATCACGTTCAAAGCGATAACTGAACGTACAATTTCCAAAGTCTGACTAAGAGGTTGTTGATTTGATGTATACAGCGGGCTTCGGTGGTGGCTCTGGTTCATGGCAACGATATGCCAGACGGGGAGAAAGGCCTTGCATCGATCATGGAACACTCTGCGGACCTCATTCTTCAAGTCGAGCCGCTGTCAACAGGCGCCGCTGCTGATATCCACGGACAGCTGTTGATCACACAGCGAACCAACAAATGGATGGACCATTTGAGGAAAGGAATAGGCGGTTTCGAAGCAACGAAGCTCCCTAGACAGCAGAAGTTTCAGTTCCGACTGCTCGAGACGGGTGTGAAATTGTTACATATCGGAGGAAGCAAGGGTGGCGCTTGACTCCTCAGTGCAATTGTTCAAACAGTCTGAATCCGATCATACCACGCCATATCAATGTTCAAATTGTTACTTTGGCATTGCACATATGAACATGGGAGACGGAACAAGTGTCTGACTTGTTGCATGCAGACAGAATCATTCTTGCAATCTTGGGGACCGCAAGTGGTGAGAATGCTTCCGGCTCTGCCATTCGTAACGTGATAGACCGCTAGCTCGTGTATCTTGTCCGAGGGCCTCTATAGCTAGGCTCGTATGTGTATGGTCCCCGCGTCCCTCACGCTGAGTTAATTTCACATGATGCATGCCCTACCCACGCTATCATATAGACACGTATACCCCATTGCATAGTCACTAAAGGTCAGCTGAGCGATTGGCTAGCTCGATTACCTATTAATTAATGATCCCTAATCTCGTTTCTTTCATTCGTTTCAATTATAATTCACGCACATGCATGCTCTGCTCTGACTATTTGAATCGTCTGCTCTTCATTAACATCGCGTGACATGCATCCGTTCTCAACCTTTTCAAATCGGTGATCTCCAGCCTTTTTAAAACGTTAATTCTTATAGATCCATAGTAACGTGCATGATGAGGTTCTAATTGCACATGTGAGCTGAATCGAAGTCACGCATGAGGAGCATTCAACAGAATGAACGTAACATCAGCAGCATCCTGGATTTGACTTCAATATGTTAGGATCAGCGAGCTCACAGAACGTCCAGAATCCTACCTGAAACTCTCGTTGAACCTGTGCATCCAGTAAGCCCGGCCATTGACCCGCATCTTTTGTCAATCAAGTCCATTATCAGAGCACTTTACGTCAGCCGAACGCTTGGCAAGCTGAGCGGGGTTCAATGCTCCGACAATCAACTCTTGATCTGAATCTCCCAGGTCAAGCAAACAGCCGAGCAAGATACTGCTACATATCAAGTGTCTCGATCAACTCGTGGGCAGCTCCCCGCAATCATACAACGTGTGGTCCAGCCAATGGTCCGGCTGAAACAAGTACGGCACCACCACGTTGTCCCGGGCAAAAGTGACCGGAGGAAACCCTATTTGGAGGAGCGTGCCATACACCCACGACTGGACGGTCAGCTTGGCCGCCCGGGGTATCCGTTCCCGTTCGTATCTTCGCAAGACATCCTCAACGGCTTGTGGATCTAGGGAAGTTGACTTGTCTGCTCGGTGTCCATTCTGTGACGTTTTGGTGTCGTTGGAGACTTTCGCTTTTGCGAGCTCGCGTGCTAGAACGACCGCGTCTTCGAGCGCAGCGCAGCCCCCCTGGCCGAGGTTGGGGGTCATGGGGTGAGCAGCGTCGCCTGTACGGATGATTAGAAGATTTTGACACCAGCACGAGCCCCGTATTACTTTTCCTTCGAAGTCACCCCGCAGACTCGTATGAAAGAGTTGCTGCAGTTTCTAACGAACAAGAAACGGGGTTTTGTGACGACAAACCTATTGTTGGTTATCCGAGCAACTTTGACAAGGACGAAGATGCAGGAGAGGAGAGGCTTCGAGACCAGCTTCTTCGTCCAATTTCCGGCAGACGCCTCAATATGGTAACTCGCCCGTCAAACCGGCTCTTGAAGACAGCTTCAACTGATTTCGGGCCCAGAAACGAAAGACGCAGCTAGACGTCCAAAAAGTGGGAAAGCAAGTCCTAACAACCAGTGAAAACATCTGAGGGCAAAGGTCGCGTTTGTTAGCAAGCCACGAGACACAATGTTTAAAGCACAGCAGGCGAGATCTTGCAGGAACATAAAAAGGAGCGCCGCACCAGCAACCGTTACGCTGCCCCGCCCCCACGTCGACTGGCCCCCGACCGGCTTTGGCAGCGTCCATCTGTCCCTGATGTCAGACCTCGTGGTCGCCTCTGCCGGGGTCGCTCGAATAATGTTCAGAATGTCGCCCCCCCACCCGCGACCGAGTCCAGCGCCTGCTGCTTCCGTTCCGTGGCGTCCGCAGCTCGGACACCTGGCGGATCCCGGCCAGTTCATGGGTTAATATGATTGCTCAGGGAGCAGTGTAACTCTGGCACGTTTCGAAACAATCTTGAGCAGCACTTACGGCTCTTCTGGGGCGAGGTCCTTGTTTCGCTAATGCTGCTGCTTTGAAGATGGCGTGGAAAACAAGAGTCGAATGGATTTGAGGGTCTTCCGATAGTGTAGGCGTGCTTGTGTCTGCCACGTCTGAGAACACTGAGGTGTCATTCTTAGGCCATTCTTTTGATATTGAGAAACCAGACCTCTGAAATGTCTCCGCACATCAGTATTTTCGGTGAATTCGGTTGTCCGAGGGCTCTAAAAGCAGGACCTGCGACCACGACCATCTCACCTTCGGGGCTGTTGAACACGGTGAACCAGTACACGTCCGTTCGGTTCATGGGGTACGTTCCAGCTCGGACTCCGGCTCCCCAGATCTGCCGCACCGCGCTCTTTTGGTTGTGTCCGTTCGGAAAATTTGCAACACCTCGGATCGCGGAGTAGCCCGCATAGTTCGGCTGGGGGAGCGCCAAGTGGCGCGCAACGGCGGACTTGGTGCCGTCACAGCCAATGACAACCTGGAGGGATTGTGGGACGAGGTGAGTGAATTCTGGGGGTATTTTCGTAAGAGGATCTAAAGAAAGGTGTACACTGCAAGGTGGGGTGGAGATGAACGATGGATCCATCAGCTTTGCAATCAAGCTGAGTTCCTGAGCCGTTATGTCTTGAGGTGAACTGTCGAAATCATCACACATGGTGAGATACAAGATTCTTCAACATGAGGTGCTTGTGTTGAAACGATCCTCTATGACTATCCTCTGCTTTGATCGAGATTATCCTCGAGGATGCGTTTCTATGGGCATGATTCGCATCGAACTCAAGAAAGATATCTCTCGGGCCCCTTAAACATGCACCCAAGATGTTTTCTCGACGGATGGTTCGATAATGCCCACAAAGGCCGAGAATCTGATATGTTGTCGTTTTCCGCAAGTTCCGCACCTGATGTATTGCAGACTACATCTTGGGTGCGAGTTTAAGGTGCCCGAGTGTAGAAGCCGAGATAGTAATGAGGTAGCCTCACTTGGAGGAGTAAGACGAGTCTGGGGGTTGGGGTGGGTAGGGGTGCGGAGCACGTGTTATGTTTGGGTTGGGTAGAAGCCTCTTGTTATCTTGGCTTGAATTATCACTCGAGTTCCATATCATTCGCGAACAAATCTCCGCCTCCAGAAGGAGTGCCTCATTCATCACCGATGAAAGAGCTTACCTTTGCAGACAAACGCTCGCCCCCTCCCAAAATGAGCTCCGTCCCCTGTCCCCCGTCAAGGGGCAGTACCTGCTGGACTGAGGTTCCGTATCTTACGGTCCCCTCTGGCAACTCTGACGCCAAAACCTTCAGGAGAGCGCTCCTGTGTACGCCCCGGTACTCGTGGGGCCTGAAAATGGGGACACCCTCATTGAATCAGGTCTTGTATACGTTTGACAGAAAAGTTGAACAAGGAGCCGGCATAACTTACAAAAGATTACCTGGTTGAGAGATTGCAAACCTGTGTCAGACCGAAATCCTCAAACTTGAGAAACCAGAGTCTCAGTGTACTAGGAGTCGGAGTCTCGCAGCACTTGTCAGACTGCCTCAATGGCCCCTTTCAGAACCTCCTCCTTCGGCTCTTGATGTCGAGTGCTTTCAAAACCACATCACAATCCAAGTTGCTATCCCCAACGGGAAGAACTCTCAGGCTCACCCGCCCTTCACCTCGTCGAGACCAAACTCGCGCACCACCTTGCCCTTTTTGGTGCACAACTGTACCCTGCAGGGAAGGTGGAGTGAAGTGGATCAAAATTGTGCAGTGAAGTGGATTGAAATTAGTGGATTGAATTCCTCCAAAGACCGAGCTTGCTTCGTGGGGGGATGATGCGCTGAGAGTACTCTACTTCAGCCTTTAGGTGCTGCCTACTGGCCTGACTTGCCCTTCTTTTCAAGGCATTTTTCAACGTACTTTCAGTGTATTGCCTTTGCCAGAAGCTGTTGGAACAGTTGTCAATCATTGACTGCTGACAACGGAGAGGATTTCCTTGCTAACAATCAAGATCATGAACATTTCCCTGAGGAAAGGCTTCAGTGATGCTTCTTTTGAGTGACTACCACCGCTTGACGTTCCTCGTCCTGGGGACTTACCTGTCCAGTAGAATGTAGTCATGCCGCAGCTTCTCCCCCACCCCCAGCACATCAAGCGCCCGCCACGCATTCCTCCAGAGGGCAATCGCTGCCCCGCTGTCTCTGGGACCCGGGGCGCTTTCCAAGACCAACGACTTTATCCCCATCCGATGGAGAGCCAGCGCCGTTGAAAGCCCTGCTATGCCCCCTCCGACTACGACAACCTCCTCTTCAACGCTGGGGTCAGCTCTAGATTGGGGCTTGCTTTCAGTCTGCAACTCAGCATTGACTGCTCTTGTGCAGGTTGACCTGTTTACTTGACTGCTTGCTCTTCTGCCCATCAGCGGTGCCGCATTGAACACGTCTTGAAGACCACCCGAGTAAAAGCCACCCGATCGTAAGGTCGGTGCTGTAGAGCAGCCGGAATTTGCGGTGCACGAAGCAAAGGCAAGGTTTCTCTTGCAACATTGCGTATATAGATTCCGCTTTCCGCTCCTGGTAGGAAGCGTCGTGGTGAGCCGCCCAATCACCGATGAACTGAGCGGCCCCTGTAATCTTTCTGCTATTGCGACTCCTTTGCATGCATTCTCGCTGCCACAAGCCCAGGACGCTTCCAAAATGCAGCTCTGAGCAGCCATGACCATCCTGGGGCAAGCCCTTCAACAAATCACTTCAAATGTCTTGGCCCCGCCAAATGCAGCATGCCGCCCATGCAAATCCGTGCAACTTGAACTTGAAGTTGAACTTGAACTTGAAGTTGTGAGGACTCTTCGAGACAGGGAAATCTTTGAACCCAAAACCCTAATTCCCCTTCTTTCTTCTCTCTCCCAGTTCTCCTCCAATTAAGCCTTTTTCAGAGTTTCTCATTTCCGGGGTGGCGCATTGGAGTGACGGGTTTGGGTTGCTCGATGAGTCTGCAAGCCAGCACATCTCCAAGCGCATCGCAAGCTACCCGGCATTCGTGCAAGGCGTTGACTAAACCCTCACAAGCGCCTCTGAGTACATTGATCAAAGCAGGCGTCGTGGTCACTCACACACGCAAGGATCTGCGGAGGTGGGGGCGCTCTGCTCCCAGGGGTTTCAAGGAATGCACGCATTTCCAGCGGCGCTGTTCGTTTCCGAGCCTTGATGATCTGAGCTGCCAGAGGGGCATATACAATTTGACAGGTTATCTGGACAGATATATACAACGTCACGCAACGTTACACAAGATCAGCCACTTCAGGCGCCAGCCTAACAGAAAGATGGTGGTCAAAGCTGCAGAAAGCGCACCCCATGAGCAGCTTCAGCAAGGAAGCCCCTCCCTTCTGCACAGTGTGGATGCGTTTGATAAGTCCTTCTCGGCCTGGCTGTACGCCGATGGGCGGTCCCACTTGCGGGGCTTTCTGAAGTTTCTGGAAATGTCAGGTAAGAATCTAATTTAGCAATCGTGGCTCTTGAAGTTTCCGCTAATACCACCATTTAAGAAGCCAGTGGTATGCCCCTGGCTGGCGCTCAACAGAAACTTGAGGTTCGCCTGAGTTTCTGCATTGGAAATGTCAACCACTTGTTGATTGGCCATTTGATGCTTAGGCATCTTTTCTTCTGCAGAAAAGACCGCCAGCACGCTGATTGTATGTTCCCGCACAACCACGGGCTAGTCAGCAGAGTAGCCCTTCTGCCTTAACCACTGCTTACTACTCATGACCACCCCCACATAGAAAGTCTCACTCTCACCCATACTTGAAACTATCGCCTTCCACTGTGAATTGGAGTTCCAGAAAACCAGCTAGAGTGTTTCAACCAACTATCTTTGCGTGAGGATCTGTGGATCTGGCTCTGAACGAATGGATTGTCAATTCACGCTTTTAACCCCAGTCCTTTTTCAAGCAGGAACTGGTTCCATCTGGATCCCCGCCATCATCGCCCTCTGGCTGGCTCCCTTCGACTACCCCTCCGCTCTTCGTGCCCTGGCCTTCAACCTTCTGGTTGGTTTCCTGTTAGACCTCGCCCTCATTGGGTCCATTAAAGGCCTGGCCAGGCGCACCCGGCCCAAGTACAACCGCGAGTTTTCAGTTCTTGTACCAGTGGATGTGTACTCGTTTCCCAGCGGCCATGCTTCCAGGTAAGCATCCGTCAAATTTGCGAAGGTCAGCCTGTGCATGGTGTCGCCTTTCGTGGTCGCTGATTGAGCAACAGGAGATCTACTTGCGCAAATGGAAAGTCAAGATGAGGTCGAGTCAGTCTGGCACTCCACACCTGTTTGGGGACCATTGGTTTAGAAACCTTGACAACAGAAATTTGTATGAATGGACTTGACTTCGAAGTTTCTCTTCTGCGTCATGCAAGGATACTGTCTATAATTCCATACTGGGGGCGATCTTAGATGCACCTTCAGATCTAGGAGTCCAGAAGTGCGTCTTGTTAAAGGTGGTCACGAAAAGTGTGCCCTGACACGGGTTCGTCCTCGCCAACTTGATGCTTTCCCACTTGCATATAGTCTCAGCTGTTCCTATCGGGCAAAGTCAGACGAAACAAGGGATTCATCTCACTATGCTTCTCGATTCCCCTTACAAATAGTCTCCTCTGCCTTGATTCGTTAGCAAACTTTGAATAGATGCAAGTTTAGCCAAGTCTTCAGTTCGAGCTCAGAAGGGTCTTCCAATTCCCTCGTACGTTCGCCTAATTTATTCTCCTCGGTTCTTGCAGAGCCATTTTTATCGCCTCCTTCCTGTGCTTCTGCATCTACGCCAACAAAGGCTCGTTTCTTACCGGTACATCAGCTGCTAGCGCGTGCTCACTCGTAGCTTTTTGGGCCGCATGCACCGCAAGCTCTCGCGTGTTCCTTGGCAGGCACTACTTTCTAGACGTCGTTGCGGGCTGCTTACTTGGCATCCTGGAGCTGGTCATCATGACCACCTTTTTGTGGGTGTCCGAAACGACCTCCACTAAGTACCACAGCTTGCTGTGGCAAAGACTAAAACTCTTAAACTGAAATTGCACACAATTTAGTTTCATCTTAGGCGGAGGGGGCTTCTGTCAATGTTATGTCAGGCCCGCGGAGGGGGCTCTCAGTCTGTGAATGATCCGACCGTCCTGCATATCCTTCACGTATACCGCTCAGTCAGCCGGCCTGATTATGTAAAGGGGAGGCTTTCTTCTGGCCGGCCAATGAATGATCCGACACAATCCTTAATGGTCCGACACTGGTTGGCCATGTTGGTCTCGACTCGATCACGCATGGAGCCCATCATTCTTTTGCGTGCCCGTGATCAGGGCCGTCCAGATCACCAGCAGTGTACATTGAACATCGTATATTGACAATATAGTTATCATGCTTGACATCCGACCGTCCTGGCTCGCACCTGCTGCAGCCGCGCGGCATAGCCCGCGGGCCATGCCGGCCAGCAGGCGATCGAGCCAGCTAGCACTATGGCCATGCCAGATGCAATCGACTCTTGAGTTCCTCGATTACCGTAATCAATGATGCAGGCTTGCAACGACGTATGGCTCGCACGTGACTATGTTTGCGAACCCGAGCCGGGAATGTGCTAGTCTTGACAACGTCTGCATTTATATTGTATTCACAAATGATGCAGTTTAGTATCATGGTTTGCCAGCTCGCGATCTTGCGACGCTTCGAGTTCAGTAGCCTAGGAAGCGCATGCCTAGCTGCCAGTGTAATCATTTTGGAGCTCGAGACTGACTACATATCTCGGCACGAGAATCGACGCGGGCCCGGATGCGATCCTCCATGCATAACATTTCCGCCTCGCTATATACATGTGAGCAAAATGAAAACGGGCCTTCACGTCCTTTGACCAGCTTTTTCTAACCTGCTCCCCATCAACTTGCCCATCTCCGAGTAAAACGCTACAATCTTTCTGTTGTGGGCGTACTTTTTGATCGCTGACGGGTCCTTCGCAATCTCCGCAACCGCGGCCATGATTTCTGGATCGTCGAGCCCGGTCGCCACTTCTTTGTTCGCGACCACGTCTTTCAGCAGATCCGGCGTGGGTTGCAAAACGTCTGCGGAGGCAGAGAGTCAATCTGCTTCGTGAAAGTGCGCCGCAGCATACGGCACCAAAACGAGTTACTCAACGTAGAGAGTAAGTACGAGTAAGAGCAATCACTCGTAGAGAGGTACTAGATACTGGCAACTCCCTTGCCTCCTAAGGGGCTTGTCTCCTAAGATTCAAAGGCCCCAGGCAGATGAATGAAAACCCTAACCCAAAAATCACGCGCTCTGCACCCCTACCACCCTAACCACCAAACCAACCCTACCCGTCTCCCGGGCTGTGAACCCTAGGAGACAACGGAGTTGCCACAATAGATACTAGAGCATACGCGATGTCAGGATCAGAAGACGAGATGAAGCTCAGGTCCCACCGAGAAGGTCAAACGACGAAGTTGTTTCAGGGCAACAGAAAGAAAAATCGCCACTCACCGATCATCTTCTTTTTCATGTCGTCCAGCTTGGTGGGCTCCTGCTTCACTCGCAGGAAGTCTGCACAGAAGACCTTTCCTTTAGAAACGGCTGGACTTGACCAATCAAGGGTTCGTAGTGTCAACCAGCTTTTCGTGGAAAGGAAAAGCTATCCAGTCCTGATGGTGAACGCGTTCCTCGCCTTGTTTGGAAATACCCATTTCCTAAGCAGTCTTTTAAAAACGGTTCGCTGCTGCCAGCTGCTTTTGACTATCACCATGGGCGGCTGACACACCGACTTAGCTCAGCTTGGAAAGTCGCATCGCCCCATAGTATTCCATGGGTTTGAGAGAGAGGCGCTAATCTGTGAACGTCTTCGAGCGCAGCGACGAGCTCGGAAACGTGCACACAGGCCGAAAAATGGAAAAGCAGAATCATAGCTCAGCTTGGAAAGTCGCATCGCCCCGTAGTATTCCATGGTTTTGAGAGAGGATGAGAGGAGCTAATTTTGAACATTTTCGACCAGAACGACGAGCTCAAATCGTGCACAGAGTCCAGAGATTAAGAACAATCCTTCTTGAACTGGCTTTGAGCACAACAACGTCCTTAAGAAACGTGTACACACACAGCCTCCTCGAGGTAAGCACGCTGTGCACGATGAAAACCTTCGGCCCGTCAGTAAGATCGGTGTTCGAATCTGTAGGCGCCAGCGGACACCCACGAAGGCATGTTCTATAGGGTCACCGGATTGACAACGGATTTCATGCATGCCCATCTATGAGTTCTTTGGAGGCCTTTTTATCTTTTGATGGGGGTGGACGACAGACCCGCAGGCACTTTCACTTTCCGACAGTAGTTTCAAGCTCTTTCTCTTCGAGGCCAACTCTTCGACCCAGACTCAACGCCTACATCAAAGTACAACTCCACCATGAACCAGAATCAGCGGAGGGTGACCATTCAAGCGCGACGCAAGCTAATCGCTTCACTTATGGGTGGATTTGGACACTCAGATCAAAACCCGCCCACGTATGAGAACTGGAAGGATCCAACGCACGTTGAACAGCAACCGGCTCACCGGCTGCTGAGTCTTTTGGGTTTCCAAAAGTTTCTTACATTAGATTTGAAATCTTTTTCTTTTTGTAAGAGAGCTTACCAGGTATGCGCTTCCCATCCTGAGCGTTCGGTGGCTTCGCTTTCAGAACCGGCATCTTCGCTTCTCTTGCCGGTCCCTTCTTGGCAGGGGGCGCATCAAAGAAACCCCGTTTCAGCGGTTTTGCGGCTGGCGCACTTTCCGGTGCAGCTGGTTCATTGCCAGGCGGTTTGCCAAGGGCGGCGGCGGCTGCCTCGAGCCGACGATTGGCGTTTTCGGGTTTGATCAGGTCGTCAAGATTCAGGCGACCGGTCCCCTTCTTGGCTTCTGATATGAGAGGGTAAAAGTGAAGAGTTGATTTGTTGCGTCCTATGGTTCAACTGTACAATGATTAAGCCGGTGGGGAAGCGGAAGCAGGTTTGTAAGTGATTTTGAAGAGGGATTGAATTCTTATGGAAGCAGATCTGGGGGTACGTCAGTGAGGCGTAATTTCGAAGTGTTTGGAGAACTGAATCTCGTCCTGGGAAGGAAGGGCCGGGATGAGATTGATTCACATATGGTACTGCAGGAAAGGAACAGCCCACGGCGGAGCCTCAAGCTAATCTCTTATCTGGCCAGAGGACTATGGGCAACTTCCTTGAGAAATTGTGGTCAATATTGACCCAATTAGGACCTTGCAAGAGGCTTTCTCAAACTTGCACTTCAATGGAAAGGGCTCTTGTTCTGCACTGGGCCACTAGCTGCAGCTCCATCAACTGGGGACAGGGGACTCTTTTCTCATGTTCTAAGTTAGCTGCATAACTAGCGTTCTGCCAAAGCAACCTAGTTGGTCCTAGTAGGAGTCTGCCCACGGTGTATCCTCAACTGCAAACCTCACCTTCTTGCCGTTTCTTGAACCGCAAAGCCGCCAGCTTTTCAGACATGTCCTCCAATGGCGGGGGGCCATCTGCGACAACCAGTGTCAGTAAGACTTTGATAAAGCAGCGTCTGATTCTGCACTAAAGAAGACCTGCTAATCTGCTGTTAAGAAGTATGGGGTCCCCATTGAGCTAGGAAAACAGGAAGCCAGCTCGAATGAATGGTTTGTGCAACAAAAAATCCTGAGCCTGTCGGTACAAGTACAGGAAGTTCTTCTGAGTCCTCAGGTGAGTCGTCTTTGATGAACCTCTGGTGAAACATAAGGTCACAGTGGGCTTGAAGCATGTTCTTTGGATGCAAACCCCATCAGCTGACCCCCATCAGCAAACCCCACTCAATTGTCACATTGGGTTTGTCACCTTAGAAATCGTTTGATGGAAACTCAGAGTGCACCTCACCATCATACTTTTGGGCCTCGGTCATCGCGTGCTGGTTTCCAAGGCCCTGCAGTTGCACGTAGAGCTGCAGCGGAGTGCTTTTCAACCTTCTCCGCGGTGGGTATCTCCAGTTGTGAACAAGGATTACAAAAGTCTCTTGCACGAGGTGTGGATAACGGTATTGGAGCAAATTGCGAGAGAGAAACAGAGCTCGATGGAAGAATGTTGAGCGTACATTGTCATAGGTCTGGGATTTGCAAAGACAGGAGCTCGAGCTGGCTGGCTGCGAAGCTAGCCAGGCTTGTGAGAAGCAAACCCTAATTTCAGTTCGCTCTAAATTTTACAGCCGTACAATTTACAAAGTGGTTGATGTAACCCTGATCACGTCAACCCCGATCACGTTACATAAAACCCAATTTGACTATACTTACTGTGGTGGGTACAGGTGGGTACACTCTGCCTATGCAAGCAAGCCGCAGATTTGACAACGTACGGTCGAGGCCAATCGCAAGGTACCCAGCAGATTGGGGCCAGCGTGGGCCCCGGTTCAGTTAAATTCAGTTGACCGGTAAACTGCTCTTGTGCTAGTTCTAACCAGCCTCCTAACCTTTCGGAACCTGCCCAGCTGGGTTCGCGACCGTTCCTCTCGATCGAGCGATCCCTGCTTCAGCCTTCAGAATCGGGAACAGGATCAGCAAGAAGGGCGCTTTGAAAGTGCATGCATTAGGCCAGGGATGGGAGAGGAAGCAGCAGGCAGCATCGTTGTGAGCTCGATGAAGGTCCGCGTCAGCAGCATTTCTATGTGGAACATTCTTCTGTTTGAGAGCTGCTCATAAACGAGGGTCGGTGTGCCGGCCAACATTTTTTAATAGAGGGATCACCCAAGGGGCTTTGGAGCCGCTGTGGCCCAATTCTTGGTATTGAAGGTGAGCGGCTCATGGGTTTAGAATTGGGCTCGAGCTTTTTGCAGAGACCTTGGTTTGCATTGTCTTGGACTTGTGTCCTGTCCTATGCCTTAGGTTCTTCTGCTGACTTCCTTCAGCTGGGCGTCTGCACTCTGCCTTGCAATTCCGCTCTGCCAATAGCGTTTTTCTTTTGTCCCGATCGCCCAACATTCGGTCTCCTTTGAAGATGCAGGTTGCACATTGGCCCTTCATCTTGCTTTTCAGTCTTTTTCTGCCGGTTACAGCTTTGGTGGTGATGTCAACATCTTCTGCCCTCTTCTAGTCTCTTGTGCCCTGGTTTGTGTCCTGATTGAGTGCGATTGATTGAGATTGATTTCGATTGATTGAGTCGATCAATTTTACAACAATGCTCTGGCCCTGGTTTCCCACGGGTGGCACTAGTCTGCTGCTAGAAAGTAGTATTGGCAGATTAAATAGAATTCTCTTAGCCACTAGTGGGTCCTGCGCTCCAATGGAAATGCAAATCACAACCCTGATAATGGCAGTCTTGCTGGACATGGAAAAATGCAAGTGCTATCACAAGTAGCTGCCCTGCCGTTGAAAAGTGAGTCTGATTGATCAATTGTATGAGTGTAAATGTTGGGGCAGCAGGTCTGTGCTTTGAATTGTCCCCACCACTTGTTTCTCTTAGCAGATCTCGTGAAAAGTCGACAGAGCGGTGGACCACTTTCAAACCAGATGGACGCTTCAGACCCTTTAACCTGAAGGAAGGGTGGTGTCAAAAATGATCAGAATCTTAGTATCCAAAGGGCTGAATGCTAAAGGAATGGTCGGATATTCACATTTTCTTTTGCTCCTGCAGGCTGACCTCACCAAGCTCTAATTCTTCCGTTACGAAAGCTGGTCGCTCGTCGCTTCTTTTTCAACCTGGGGTCCTGCTCCATGTTTGTCAACCCCCTTGCATCCCCCCCCAAAAGATGCAAATCCCCGACCCGTCCATTGACGAGTTCTTAGAAGCCTTTCTCCTCAACTACGGCAACCTATCCGACCGCTTCCCCCGCTTGTCCCCACCCCTCATAGAAGACCCCCCGGTGCCTGACGATCCGTTTGCTGGGGTAGTTCTCGACTGGGGGGACGAGGAAAACAATCAGCAGGACGAAGAGATGGAGGACTATTACGGTGTCGAGGCGGCAGACCCGGAGGGGCTTGTGTTTGACTTGACACAGGACCTGCTCTACAAAGTGTTCTCGCACCTGGATGCGCCGGGGCTGTGCAGCGTGGCGCAAGTGTGCCGCCAATGGGGGGCGATGAGCGTACATGAGGACTTTTGGCACACGCTGGACTTCACTAGGAAAGAACTACGCACTGAGGATGGTGAGTGGACTGGGAGCTTTTCTTATGAAGCCTTGGGAACTGAGAACTCAAAAGGTTGTCGGAGGACAGCATTTTGTAATAGTTGTGCAAAAAGTACTTTAGTTTGGCACCTACGAACAGCACTTGACCGCTGTGCGTCATCAGAGGTCAGTTTGGAATTCCAGGATCTGCCTGATTGTTCCAAACGTTTCCCTCTGTTGAGGTTGCAAGGATCCCAGCGTTTCATAGTCAAAGACACAGTCACAGCGCAAGGGGCTGCGCAGGACCACACTCCGTTACGAGGTTCTCATTGCTTGTATGTCTCATATTTATCATCTAGCTTCTTTCTTTTTGATTGCCAGGACATGGAGTTCATGCAGGTAGAATGATGCCGCTTAATCAATCACTCGTTGTGGTAAATAATCTTTAATCATCGAAACATTGGTATTCATTCGAATTTCTAGAAATTGGTTGCAGAATTGCGTGCACTTACAGTCAGACGGTGCTGGTTGTGGAAGGCTTCTCCCTTGATACGTTTCCCTTGCCTTTGAGTCCCTTTGCCTGCCTCACACTTGTTTTGCACCTTGCAGTTGTTGACGTGTGCAAGAAGTTTAGCAACGCATCGACGGTACTGATGGGGAATGGCAACCGACTGGATGAGTACATTGTTCAGAAGGCCCTCGGCCGCCTGAGGTGCGTGCCTCACTCCCGCACGTACTTCCTTCATGCTGACGTCACCATGCTTAGTTCACCTGTGCCGGGTCCAGAAGCCCTATGCCAGCTCAGGCGGGCACCGATGCCGTCCCTAGTTGTCCCTAGTCCTCCTCCACGCTAAAGTCTCGTTTGCCTAGTTTTCCGGTGCATGGTCTCGAAGGCCCTCGGCCACTATAAGTATCTGCCCTGCTCCCGCGCTCTCGTTTCAAAGCCGCGAGCCCCCCGCCCAATCTAGTCTGCAGAGTCTAGTCAGCCCTCCAGCAGCTCGGTTACAAGCCTGGACCGCCTTTTTTGTTTCCACGGATGAGAAGGTAGCGGATCACTGCGGAAGTAAGGACCAATTGTGCAGTTCATGCTTTGTTCCAATCGTGAGGAATGCAGCAGTCCATTTGAAACGCTAAAACACTCATAATCAACCGCGTAACGACTTGCCATCTCTTCACGCTTAGTTCTGCCGGTCGGCTCTCGCAGGAACCTGACGTCACTCTCCATCACCGACGCCCACAACAACCTGTCGAGCGCGGACCACTTCTTCCGGGCGCTCACTCAGCACTGTCGCGCCCTGACCACACTGTCCGTGACCAACGTCATGCTCACGTCATCGATGGTCGTCATCAGCCATCCGCAGCTCCAGGTTTGACTCTGCCCAATTACGGCCTCTTGAGAAGTTTTCCCATAGGGCGACTTTCTGCTCTCCAGTTTCTCACTCCAGTGATTTCGCCGCACAGGATACTCAATTTGACACCAACTACGGTCACCCCCCCAAAAAGGTTCCGACGTCAAACAAGGTGTTTCGCCCTACGCGTGATCACCTTTCGACTAGTTTACAACCAAATTTCCGTTCGAATTCAGTCACCCTCCGTCCCTCCGCAGAGGCTATTTCTGGACCACACCCACAAACCATGGGCTCCGCCTTGCCTTCCCCGCCCTGAAAATCCCAAAAGTAGAAAAGTGGTCTCGCCGAATGCACACGCGTTCGCAACCATGTGCCATCAGATTCATTGCATCCCATCCTCATTGCAGACGCTAGTCTTGGACCACACCCACAACCACGGCCTCCGCCTCGCATGCCCCGCGCTCAAGTCCCTCTCCCTCCAACACGCCACCCTGAGCGGACTCCTCCTCGAGTGCCCCCTCCTGGAGAGCGTCAACGTCGGGGCCTGCGCCAAGCTCGCTGACGTCATGCTGAGGACGGCGCTCGTGGCGTGCCCCGCGCTGAAGCGGCTGGACGTGAGCGGGTGCGCGCTGGTCACGGACGACACGATGCGCCAGGTGGCGGTCGCGTGCGCGAGGCTGGAGCGCCTTGACGCGAGCCACTGCCCGTTGCTGACCTTTTCGGTGAGCTTCAGCAGTCACACACTATCTTCATTGTTGGCTTTCCGAAGTCGGGTTCTCAAAGGCGGTCTGAGTTCGCCAGCCGTGCGGGAAGCTGGAACACCTCAATATAAGCCACCACCCACTGCTGACCCTCTTGGTGGCATGTTTGTGTTAACGTTTGACGGGAGGTTCCGAAGCCTTCCATGGTTGGTAGCTCAAAATAAAGCGTGGCTTTTGCTTGACACACCGTGGCGGGGCGAGCACAAGCCGAAAAGGCTGCTATACAGGCAAGTTTGTGCTACTCTAAAGACATGGAGGGTTGGAAGCTCTCCGGACTACTCGTTTGTCTGTCGTTTGAACTGAGCGATGTGTTCGTCACGTCCTCCAGGGGCCAGCGTGACGATTTTGCACTTACAACACGCACAGCATTCGAAGCAAGCGATGATCAAAGCGTTGTTTTGCAGAACGTCCGCTTCCCTGCGCTCCTGGAGTTCACCGCCATGGGCTGCGAGGGCGTGGCCACGAGTTGTGTCAACATGCTGGGCTACGCGCACCAACTGGAGAGCTTGACACTGGACTACTGCTGGACGCTAGCGGCGCTGGAGTTGGAGCTGTACCATCTGCAGAACGTCAGCCTTTTCAACTGTCGAATGTGAGCGCCGCGAGGTTTTAACTCCTCACCCGGGTTGATGTTCCAGGATAACGCGCTCTGTGATGCGACGAGTGACAGGGATTTCGGGAACGTTAAGGTGCTGTGGATGTAGAAGCGGAGGGGATCTGCGAATGCAGAACATCAGCACCTTACTTCAATCGAGTTGAACGGAGGTTTTCAAATGCAAGTCGGTCTGACGAGTTGACGGCGAGTTAAGGTTACACCTCTGGTAACTTCTTCCAAATGAGCGCTCTTTGATATTGGGCAGCAACCGTTGGCATTGCCTTTCGTATGCTGCTGGCAACAGCCCTTGACAGACTCTTTAAACGCTAATTGTTCACTTGGATAGCTCGACCCGGCTGGAATATTTTTTGAGTCCGGGCCAAGACTTGTTGGCTCATAACATGGCAATCGGTTAGGTGATAACCGCCATCTATTGCAATCTTTGGCCGTCCCGCCTGTGGCCCACCCCCACTTCATGCAGTCATTGAAGGTGTACTCGCAAGCCTTCAGACGTCTTTGATCCAGCGAAGTTTTCAACTCAACTAACGAGTATCTAAGCACAGAAACAAATTCTCGCCTCAAACCCCAGGCTGAAGTCATGTCAAACCGACTTTGAAACTTTGAATGGAAAAGTTCTGAAATGTCGAACTATTGCCAGGTTGTCGGACGTGAAGCTTCGCACCCCCCGTCTGTCCTCGCTCCGCCTCGACAGTTGCGGCGCGCTGCGGAAAGTCGACATCTACTCCGCCGAGCTGCGCGCGCTGGCCCTGCGGGGCCAGCCCTTCCTGCGGGAGGTGCGCCTACGTGGGCCGGAGCTGACGTCACTCGACCTCACCGAGTGCGACGGGCTGCACGAGCTGACGGGGGAGGCGTTCCTGGACCCGCAGGCGTGCCCCAAGATGACGTCACTCGTGTTGGACAACTGCGAGGTGAGAGGAGAGGCATGGTTGTGTACTTCGTGGGAATTTGGATATAGCTGGGCGAATGGGAGGGCTATCAGTGGGGTTTTTGAGGTCCAGGAACCTTTGAGAGGGGAGTCGATCCCGTCACACCAGATGAGCAATTCTTTCACCTTCACGTCCTTTCTTTGCTCCGTATTTTTGAATCTGATCGATCCAGAGTTCAATTCCATCGCGCCAGCGAGGTCACTCTAATATCAACGGCTCTTCTTCCAGGTACACGTCTTTTATTCTTTCCGTTTCATTTCGGCCCGTCTCATGTCCAAGAGTACGTGCACCAGCTATCAGACATCCACGTCTGCCACCCAGTCACATGATTCTTCTTCTTGCTTTCTGCAGAGTCTTTTCCTTTCTGTCATTTGCCTCGCTCTCCTTCGGTCCGTTCTCTCCTCTCCGATTGGTTCTGCCATTTCCTCCATAACTCCACCCTTACCCGTCTCCCCTGCTGGAGGGGCTTGTCTTATTAGGCCCTCGATTTCTTTTCGAATTTGCGCCTTTTCTTACCTTTGTGTCATCGTCGCTCACCATCCTATGTTCCTCCTCATGCCCTTGCTCGTCTCCGCTTATTCCACTTCATTCAGTTCTTGTACTGTCGCTTCATTCAAACGGTTCTTTCCTTCTTGTTTTATCCAATTTTATTCCCATTTTGCTCCATCTCAACCCTCGTCGTTTTTCCTTTTCTTCCTCCCCGCGGGGCCTAAGCCGCCTAAACCTCGCTTTCCCCTCCCTTGCGAGTTCTGTTTCTACTTTTGAATTCAAAAAACACACACGTTGTTATTTTCCCCAAGAGGACCAATATCCAGTCCGCCTCCCCCCCCCCCAATTTTCTTTCCTGTTTAGATCAGCTTTGCCCCTTCCCTACTCACATCCTCTACTTCTCGCAGGGCCTGACCCGCCTGACCCTTGCATCCCCCTCCCTCTCCCGCCTCTCCCTCGCCGGCTGCTCCGGCCTCAGCGCCGTCGACCTCGCCTGCCCCGCGCTGACGTCACTCGCCACCGACGGCTGCAACCGCCTCGCAACTGCGCGCCTGGCGCCCGTCGCGCTCGCTGACGTCAGCCTGGGCACGTGTCCCCACCTCGCATCACTCTGCATCCAGTCGGCGGAGCTCGCGGGGCTGGACTTACGCGGGTGCGGCGCGCTCGAGGGCGTGGAGCTGGACTGCCCGGCGATGACGCGCCTCGACACGTCATACTGCAGGTGGGGGCCCGCTTTTCAAAGTCAGTAGTGTGTCTTGGTATTTGAACGTCTTGATTTGAAGACAGACTTGGTGGATTTGACTTGCGCCAGGTGAGAGCTGCGGATTTGCAGAGTCGGGTTTTTCATGATTTCGCAACCTTTCTCGTGAGTCCTTAGGTATCGCTAACTAAGTGTACCGCGAATTTCCCACGATGTGACACGTCAATTGTCTGCGCTCTCAATGGCCCCTTCTTCATACGAGGAGTTTGAGGGCTCTTAAGCTTTATTGAAGCCTGCTTCTCAAACCAACAAAGTTTTCGACCATTACTGGTCTCCTGAGTTGCCCTTTAAGGTCCGCGAGCGATGATGACCATTTTTCGCTGACCTGAAGAGGCCAGAAAACGTTGTCGGTCTTGACGCTAAAGACCTTGGGCGAGTCTCAAACCGTACAAAACCTGCAGTGCGTTTGCTTGCTTAGCTACTGACTGGACTGCTCGTTTTGGACTGATGCAGTGCTGGCACCCAATTCAGCACCTTACTTTTTGCGTTTTCTTTTCGAGTACGACAATAGTCTGGATGCAGTCAGTAGGCTAATACTTTCACTTCCGCAACTTTTGCTATCTCAGCACGACGAATTGAGAGTAATGAAGGCAATAGCGCAGCAATTCTGTGCACTTCAGCCACTGCAGCTTCTTCCAGATTCTGCTGAGCGCCGAAGTCAGCGATCAAATCAGGGCATTGGTGCAGTCAGCGTTTGAGACTTTGATGGCGTTGGTTGACCCCGATATAGACTACGTTCTAGGGTTTATTTTGAATGGCGTGTCTTGACCACCACTAAGCCGCCTTTCTCCTTGTCACCAAGCCAATCGTCTGCTTCCAATCGGAATCCCTACAGCTCGTTGCTCATCGTATCACAACCGCTGATTGCCAACTTTCTCCGTGGCTTTTGCCACTTCCCATTTACCTTCTAGCATGTGCCAACACCCGTTTTAATGGAGATGCCTCTCAGACGAATCCGCATCTACTGGAACCAATCTCAAGCCGTAGATCTTGACGTAGCTGATCGGATTGTAGGGACAGTGCCTGCAAAAGTGTGTATTGGCGGTGATAGAGCAGCACACCGACGTGGCCAATGATGGTCAGCGCCATGGTGTGTGTCACGGATACAATTCTGCTTGCAAGCCCTTTCCCTTTGGCTGTGCAATGTGGCCCCTCCTGTTGCCATGGCGTAGAGAACTCACAGTCCTTCAACTGCTCATCAAGGGAGCAGGGGAACCAATCTTTTTTTTCAAGGTCAAGCCTGCGCTGAGTGGTCTCCAGATAACTGACAATCTAGATGGTTCTACTGACATGTCGTGAGAGATTGCTACAAGGCGAAGCCGCCACTCCGGATGCTGACAAGCTCCGCGATAGAAGCGAGCTCGACAATCTGGTCCTGTTCTAAGTGTTCAGCTGTCTTTTAGTCTGCCTTGCACCCATTCTGTGGGGTCGGGGGGAGGCTACACTTGAATTGACGTCACACGATTTGGCCGTGAGAAAGCTGACACGACCTGACGATCGAAACCCCAGTTTCCAGCCTTTGGATCTGCCACATCTACTATATCCACCAACACGTTACTATTTAGGAGGTGAAAGAGGTGAAAGAGCTCTTGGGACCGATTCCAACATGTCTTTCTTAAGGTCCGGGCAACGCGGATGCGCTTGAAGAATGACCAACTGTCCCTCTTGAGGTAGTGCAGCGTCAAGTTTCACAGAGCCTGGTGGCGCAGATTACGCCCGGCACAGGCGATAAAGCTCTGCAAGGGCTGATTGATCTCGACGCTTGTGCTGACTATGGTCCAGTTTTGTCGGTCGTAGCGACTCTGCCTGCTTGACATCCGAAGTCTTCTGTCTGCGTGCTTTGCATGTTGAAACCCCAGATAAATGTTGAAGAGATAACAACGAACCAAGGACCAGTCATTACTGGAAGATCATGCTGAAGTTCTTCACTTTGTTGGTGGCACTTCCAATCTCCTCTTGCAGCCAGACTGTTTTTGGCGGACTAGTGAGTCACTGTATGAAGCTGCTTTGGCCATGATAAAGCTACGACGTGGCCTCCTCAAAATCCATGTGTATGCCACTCAAAATGCCAAAATCACATCGGCGCAGCTATAAAATCCCCTCTGGCACCACCGACACTAGCTTCTTCTGCTTTCTGTACTGACGTCAAGCTGAATGAGCGCTTCCTCGACTGCCCCCTTGTCTCGATTTTTGTTATCAGAACACTTCTCTCAACCCAACTTCCTTCAAATTGGTCTTCACAAACTTTTTTGCCCAGAGTTTCATGGAATGTTTTAGGCTGTTGTGAAAGTCTTCCGAGTTTGGAGCTCTTGGAAGGTCATTCTCGGGCAACCTTGGCCATGACGACAAGGCCGCCTGGCTTCCGTTGAGGTCAATCGAGCTTGCCACCGAGCCAATCAAAGAAAACGTCACCTTCGACCGTTCATCAAGAGTGCCGTAAGGAAACATGGAATTGGCCAGTCCAATAGGGCAAAGTCTGAAATGACTCTTGTGGAACCTGACTGCCGAGCAGTCAGTATATCACTGGGTATGAACCTTATTGTGCGAAGCGAAGGCAAGATCGGCGTCAAAAGATCTACGTCACTGTCTTCGCACCACTCTGCTCCAGTGTGGGACTTCAAGGAGCGGTAGAATCTTCTGCACTGCGCTTGAGGACCTGGAAAACAGAACGTACGTAATGAAAGGCGGTTCTGATTGCAAGCTCAAAACGGGCGTCAAGGCGGCTGTTGATGTTCAAGACACTTCCGACTGCCTTTGAATGATACAGCAACAATCCTTACCTGGGCCGACTTGCTCGTCACCAATATATACCGACATTTGTTCCGCTTGTCGTGTTTATGCATTGTCTGCCCAGTACTCTGCAAGCTCGGTTTGAATTACGTGGGCTTTGCTCCACGTCAGCCATTTGCACAGGTCAGGTTGCACCAGTCAGGATTTGTCACTTTGTTCTCGAGAGGAGGTCCCATCCAAACCGAGGGACGTTGCGGTCGTTCAAATACGACAATGTTGCATCCCCTTACCCACAACAGTTGATCTGCTCTTTTTCGGCATGCAGACTACCGTCAATATAACGAGAAACAAATCCGCGTTGGTCGTGATAAAACAGCACGGCTGAGGTGGCCACTCAGCCTTCCCTCTATGAACCACATCTAAAATCTAATGTGCTACTGTGCTGTTCCTCTCCTGAATCGGCCCACTTTTGTGCAGACAAATGAAGTTAACGGTGCGGCCGTTTTCTGCTCTGTTGTTGGTGCAATAAAAAGCAGATCCGTTGACAAGAGCATACAGAGGACTCACGCTTCCCTTGTATGTAATGCGAAACCTGTTAGTTCCACTTTCTGTCCACGAGGCTGGAAGCGACCGTCGTAAGGGGTCGGTAAGCGAGGACTCAACCGCGTTAAAACGGGCTCGTCAAGAAACTTCGTGGAGCTCTGGTAGCGACTTTTGAAGCCGGACGTGCCTGGGTGTCTACCTCTGACCGGCCCCCTTGAGCCGCGAAGACCCCGCCTTTGCTGTCGCAGGTGCTCTATGATGCCGGTGGTTGTGATTTTGATAACCTGCTGAGGAAGAAGCACCTGGGAGCAGGTCCTCGGCTCCTTTGCCTTTCCGTCTGGTAGGTTATCCTTTTGGAAGACTTTGATTCTGGCCATGACAACTCTTTTGCCTGTCCTGACGGAGGCAATGAACATTGACGACCAGATTTGAGCCACACTGTATGTTCAAACGTCCCTTTCCAAGCTGCCAGTGTTTGCTCTTATCCTGGTCTGGATACTGTTCACACCTGCAAAACTACTGATTTGCGTTGAGTAAGTGACCAGAACACAAGGGCTATGATGTCACCTTGGAGAGGTCAGGCAGAATGGTGCAAACCTTTGATGCCGAGTCGCGTCGACTGTTCTTGGCAGAGCCATCTAGAGGAGTCTACCATCGCTCACCTTTCAAGTTGTGTTGCAGCGGAAGCATCCCTTGTTCTCATTTCGCGAGATAGCTCCCGTACCGGTCTTCACCAGTACGTTAAGCCTTCACTTGGAATGTGATTTAAGTTATTCTGAATGTCCAACATTCAGGGATGAGAGGCTGATGGACCAAAGCTACCGCACGTGACACCAAATGCTATTGCCTGTAAGCGCTGAGCTCTCGACTTCTATGCTCACTTTGATCAGAATCGTTCAAATCTCAAGGCACGCTCGAACTCAAGACCCAAAGAACTTGTGAGCTCCGGCAAACGAAGCTAAATTTTGGTCTGTCAGTGAAACTTGGACACCTCTGAAATAGGTCGGGGTTCGAGCGTGGATCCTGCAGCTTCTTGCGATCCAATTGCCGCGTGTTTTCTTGACCCATCGAGCTGGTCTGGTTTGGTTTGATGAGCAATTTTGTTTCGACAGTTGAAGTAAGCCACGTTTGCATGACGGTAAAGTCGACACTTCGCAATGCGTTTCGGCCGTGACAAATCGTAAGCGCTCACGTTGGCCTTTCCTGGCCACTGTTGAGCTCGTCTATGAGCCATTTCCGGCCTTTCTTTGATCTGGTTGGTACGAACTTTTTTTATCGGGTGTCCACAAGCAACACGACCTTTGTTGCTCTGACGATGATGGTGCTTCGTGAGCTCTTTGATCGTCCTCTGCCGAGATTGGACTCAGAGTTCGGATTGAAATTCTCGCGACGTCACATGTCCTTTGTCCATCACTTTTGCGCTGCCGTTTGCTTTTCACGGCGCGGTAGGTTTTTGTAGAGGCGATCTGGAGATATGTTTTCGATCCTCCAATGGCTGTGTACCAGCAGCCCTTATAGGCTGAAATCTTGAAATCTTGATGAACGAGTAGGCGTCGCTTTTCTTAAGAAGCCAACCCAACGTGCTACCGGCTCGTCTTTTTCAACCTCAGATGCTCATGGCTCATTACCCCGCTTTACTGGTCGGATTCTGTTGAACGATGACAAGGGCTTTGCCAATACGTCATTTTAAAGACACGTCGCCATGGCATGCCTTGGTACTGTCAACCGTTGATCTAAAGGTCGTTCAAATCACGACTGGTTTTTGCATCCTTGAGAAGCGGCCGCCGGGTCCTTGAATTGGTAATGACATAGCACATGCCGGGCATGCTAGGGGCCAAGATTTGGTTCAGAGCCAGTAGTGATGCCAGTTCAGAGATTCTCGGACGAGGCCTGGTTTGAAGGGCGGTGTGGTCCCGCGTAGGGAGACTGAATCCGTCGAGCGCATGGTGAACGACAAGAGTGGCACTCTTTCAATTATCCAAGGCGATGATGGTAGGCGATGATGGCTACCGTTACTGACCACCTGAGGTCACAAAGAGGGATCTTACGGATGCCAGAATTCTTATCCTTTTTGAAATAGCATGTTTGCGACTTCCAAAACAAATCGAGGGCCATGTAGTACAGGTCCATCTGAGACGTGGCACTGCGGTCACCTCGCGTTTCCGAAATGATGAACTGGTGATCCTTGGTAGATTTGCATCACTCCGAAAGACGTGCAAACGTGATGTTGAGCTTCTGAGGAAGCGCCCCCTCGGGCCTCCAGCGAGTGCCGTTCTGCTTCAGACTTCTACTTCTGCCAGGCTGTTTTTGTGACGGCGTGCTCAGTAACAGCTGGCAATAAAGACAGCTCCTGATAGGCCTTCCTCGGGCCAGCACAAGTTGCAGATGGCCACGTCGCCGATTCGTTTCTCTTAAGCCGAGAACGGGGTTGTTCAACGAGCGCTCAGCCTACCGAATGCGTCATATCAGTCGTCGGTTATGAAACCTGGACACGAATGGGCAACAGGGCGGCACAGCGGTTGCTACACGTTGCGGTGGTGCTGAGCATCTTTCGAACTGCCCCTCGCTTTTGTCCTGGAAGAATCTACTGGGTGGACACTTCTCCGTTATTTTGGGTCGGAGTGCGTTGTTTGGAAAAAGTCGGGGGCTGTTTTAGGCAATGAAATCGCTCAGCCATGATCGTGTTTGCGTGGTTCTGAAAGCCGTTGCGTTTAAAATCAACAGCATGGCTAAATAGAGTTGTCAAACAAGTTTCTAGCACCCTGTTCCTATAACAGAACGGTCCAGATTCAACGTCCTACTCCTGGACAATTGTCAAAGGAAAGAGGCATTGCGTTCCGAGATTATGTGCCTGACTGATGACATCCAAACGGAACTTTTTCCTTAAGCCTTCGTTTTTCTTACTATTTCATTCTGCAAGTGCTTATCCCAGCGACATGGTCCCCATATCACGGTCGATTGGACAGAAAGGGAAGCGTTTGTTTGTATATGTTAAGTCTGAAAACAATCCTTTAACCAAATGCCTGCATTCTTAACATCCTGTTCCTGGTGCTAATAAACGGACTTCAAAATAGACTCCCTTAGGGCAGAGGCCCCCTCTGTTAACATGGCTTCCCTCCGTCTTTATTTAGGCTGAACCACTGATTAATTCTCTCTCCTCTATTGCAGCAAGCTGAGCAGTTTGTCGCTGGCCCCAATGGCCGCCAAGTGTCGCGCCCTGAGCACGCTGGTCCTGGCGGGTGCCGTCGTTTCATTGGACGGTCTCATGGCGCTGTCCGAACTGAAGAACCTGTCTAGACTGGACCTCTCCTACACAGAGATTGAGAGCCTCGAGCCAATCTTCTCTGCGTGCACGCAGCTGAAGGTGGGTGTCGTCTTGGTTAGGCTTTTAGGGTCAGGCTATAAGTCCTTGTCTCAACTCTGGCAGATTATCAACCCTTGCGATGGCTTGAGGGAAGGCGAGCGCTTCATTGCCTGCCTAGAACCTGTTTGTAGTCTCGTCAGTGGGCTTGTTCATCTCGGAGGGTTTGAGTAGGATCTGCTGATTTTATCAGGTCAATGACGTGCTCGGTTCAGGACTCTTGAGCTTGCATATCTCTTGCGTACTTACGAGGGTCGTTTGCGAAGTAGACGAGTTTCATTGTGTGCTTCGTGGCCTGCTTCGAGCATCTTTGAGAGCTTTTTGGAGGGGCAATGGCGCATTCACATAAGGTGCTGAATTGTCAGCCCGAAAATCTGGTGCTTGCCCACAACAAGTCAGCCAAAGCTCCTTATACTGGCTCTCCTCGACCTTCTCCGACGAAAGTGAGACATGTTTTGAATGTGATTTGACATGTCCTTTGAAATGCAGGCTCTCCTCCTATCGGCCTGCAAGCGCCTCCCCGACGCTGCGTTGACGCCCCTCCACTTCGGCCTTCGCCTACCGCTTCTTGAGGAGCTCGACGTCTCCTATTGCAACCTGAGCGCCGGAGCAGTGGGCGAGCTTTTGGCTCGGGCGCCCCACATTGCCCGGTTCAGCTTCAACGGCTGTTCCAAGCTGGACGACTCCATCTGGGACCGGCTGGCCGAGCCGCCGGAGGGATCCCCCAAGCAGAGAGACGAGCGCCCAGGGAATTGCTTCGAGCAAAGAGACCAGCGCTCTGGGGAATCCCCCGAGCAAGGAGACGAGCGCCCAGGAGGACCCCCCGAGCAGAGAGACGAGCACCCGGGGGTTGCTACCGGGCAGCAGCAGGGTGGGTTGGAGCACCCGAGGGACGGGAGCAAAAAAATCGCGAGCGAACCCCTGACGTGCCCCCCGGCACCGAGGGTCCTGGGGGATCCCTCGGAGGAAAGCCCCGGGCGCTCTGAGGGATTATTCGTCGGGGTGATGGGCAGCCCGGGCAAAGTGGCCAAGCGCCTGAGGGAGGTGAACCTGGGCGACGGGAACGGAGGTAGGGGCGAGGTTAGGCAGCGCAAGCTGACCACGCAGGAGATGACGTCATTCGAGAACACGTTGGTCAGGCACCCGTTCACACTGGACGAAGGGGCGGGGAAGCGCCCGGTAGAAAGGATGACGGCGCTCGAGAGCCCCGGGGGGGAGAAAGCGGAGGGAGCAGAAAAACCTAGCGTTGCTGCGACGGACCTTTCGGCAGTGGCGCAGGATTCCACTGTTTCACACTCGCGCTTCCTTGGACCTTCCGCAGAGATCCCCGAGATCCCCGTTGCAGAAGCTCAGGTTGAAGAACTTCAAAGCAGAGAGTCCCAAAGCGACGAACTTCAAAGTGATGAGCCCCAGATTGGCGGAGACCCAATGGAGTTCGAGCACCCGCGTCGCATGCTGACGTCACTCAGCCTGGTGGGCTGCAACGGGCTGCGCTCGGTGCGGCTAGAGACGTGCCCCGAGCTGACGGATTTGAACGCGTCGCTCTGCGGAAACGTACGGCAGGCGCGGGTGACGTGTCCGAAGCTCGTGCAGCTGAACCTGAGCCAGTGCGGACGGCTGACGGCTGCGGCGGTCCAGTGTTCGACTCTGCGGACGCTGAATATACAGGTAAGGGAGTGGCTTATTGTAACACTCGGTGACGGTGTGCCGCTGAAAGAGAGGCAGTCGAGCAAAAGGACAGATCGCTGGAAAGAAACTTGGTACTTAAGGACCGTACGGAGCGCTGTGATGGTGCCATGTCTCTTCGTGTGCGCACAGGAGCACATGCTGCCTTGCTTGATATTTCTGGTTGGGAATTGAAGATCTGGGGGCCAATAAATTGTGCGCATCATTGCATCGTTGTTGCAACATTTATGAATCACAGGATAAATTTGGAAAGAAGGGGATGAGAAGCCTACTCCTTCGGCGGCTGAGCAGGAATTCTCGTAAAAGTATCCAATCTGGCATTCTTATCTGGGACAACAAGCAATTGTTGCGCCGGTTTTTGTGTCTCCAGCGAAGGCTAATATCCGATCGATTCAATTTGCGCACTGAAGAAAGTCTGCTAGAGTATCTCAACCTCAATGAGGTCCACTACAAGGCGCCGAAGACATTCCCTCGTCTCGGGTAAGTACGTAAGATTCTCACTGACTGTCCACACATATCTTTTGCAGGGTTGCCAGCTGGACGACTCCGAGGTTCTGGGCATGGCCCGCGGGTGCCCGGCGCTCGAGACCTTGGACGTCCGTTCTTGTGTCCGAATGCGTTCGGACGACACGGTCAGGACCGTCCGAGAACTGTGCCCGGGCATCAGGCGGCTTCACTGCGACGCCCACTGACCGGGGCGTTCTGCCCTTAGGAGGACTGGGGCAGAAGAGTAACAGGCCGGAAAATGGGGGTGCGATGGCTGTGCTCATTGAGCGCAGACTTACCAGGGAGAATACTGGTCTGGACCGGTGGTGTCTGACATTGTCGGAATTGATTGTTTGGGGGGGTGGGCAAGGGGAATGAATAGAGCTCTCAGCAGCTTTAAGAAAGATTCTGAAACATCAAACATTTGAAAAGTAAAGCTCGGTACTAAGAGATGTTGTATGTGGGCGACGATTGAAGATTGTTAGAAATAAGTAAGGTGACTCCCTATGGAGGTTTAGAGGTGGTGGGTTTCGACGCAACAAAGGACAGAGTCCGGTGCTAGGCAACCAAAGGCCCGAGAAGCGCGTAGTATTCGCAAAAAGCGGCCATAGTAAGAGGGTTTGCGAAGTTGTTGCACCAGCCTTTGCTTGAGGGCATTGGCTCATATGGACGTTGTCGAAGGAAAGCATCTGCATGTGACAGCCATCAGTGCCGGCAAAGACTTCTTGCTCGGCCAGATGTAGCGCAAGTACGTAATGCCATGTAGACCGTGCATCTTGGGGTTGATTGGGATTTGGGAACTGGTCTTAGGAATTGGCGCCCTTGATAACTATAACGTGACAAGAAGTTGCTGAAATCGAATTGAAGTCGGTGTGGATTGGATATTCTTTTCGTTTAGTCCCCATTCATCGGTGTGATGAAAGCCGATCTCGATGGCCGTCCGAGACTCATCACGTGCATGGCCCGTACCCACAATGATTGGATCAGAAGGAGACGTTTTTAAGCTCGTGGGTGCATTATAAGAAGCTTTCATGCGGCATTCCGCTTTCTTGAACTTGTCCCCGCGAGCAATCATGTACGTAAGCCAAGGTCGATAGAAAAAGATTCGTTTTGCAGCTAACTGGAGCCCCCTCGAATTTGAGGTATGTCAGTGCCCCACTTCCTCTCAGCACCAGAGCTTTATATTGAGCCAGCGCCCTTGTCCAGTCAAAGACAAAGACCGGAAACATCCTGCCAGATATATCTTCTGGATTGCCGTGCAAGATCCGAATTGTGGAGCCTGAGCTGGTCCTTGACTCATGCAGCTTCGGCCGAACGCGTGAAGTTGAGTAGACCAGTTTGATGAACCAAATCGTTATCCGATGGCATGATCGAACAGACTCACCAATTGTATCGTGGCGCCTTGGTATCATAGAGAGAACTCATCGCTAGCTCGGGATCGATCGATCGAGTGCCTGATCGACGAGCCTGTTGCAAAGTGAGCACCATGAAATGGGCCTTGCTTCTCTAAATTGCGTGTGTACAAATATATTGCTGATTCTCTATGTACTCGTAAGACCAACCACTCATTGCCAGGCAGGTGCGAGTTTAAGTTTGCTATCTTGATCCATTGGTGCAAGTTTGAGAGTTGATATCTTGATGTCTGTCCTTCCACGAAACTTTCGAACTTGCACCGAGAGGTGCTAGACATCGATGGGCTGTTTTCCACACGCGTCGATCCCAAGAGGAGCGAGCTTCTTATCTAGGCTGGAAGACGAGGCAGGTCGGAAGAAGAGGAGACTCAATTCGAAGCTAGCCCGTATAATATTAAGGTCGAACTTCCCTTATTCGCAGAATCAAAACCCTATTACCCGTGGAACGGAAATGTGAAGACGTCTTCACGCATATCTCATGCTTCGCTCCATCTTTTTGAGATCCGTCTTTTGCACATGAAAGGATACATCAAAAGGTACCTCGTAAGGCTTAGTCGGCAAAAACCAATAGCTCTAAGTACCTGCCATGACGTGGCCAAAACATGCGTTTCTGGGCGTTTTCGAGCAGGCACCGAGAACGCG